ACCAGTATTACGAACATACTTGTAGGGAGCACTTTCTTTCCGCATCATGATCAGTCTCGAGAGAAAGGGCGACCATCTTCAGGAGAGCCATGGACGCTTGGATATTGGCGGCTTGAAATCCGTAGATATCTTTAGCTGGATCGCCCGTACACGGTCGGAGTTGCTTGAAAATGCGCGGCAAGGCCATGTACAGCTCGTTAACTCGATCCTGGCTGGACATGTTGAGGGCTGGAGTCGATACAGACTCGCCTGCCATCAAGTAAAACCTCGAAGACCGAGTTCGCAACCTGCTCAAGTTATGCTCCAGTATACGATACAGATCCGTGAAGTAGTCCCACTCGACTACCCAATGGGTGCTGTCCAAGGGCGCGCTTTCAGTTTCGTTGCAGTTTCTTCCAGTAGGATACTCGACTTCCGCATGGCTCTCTTGAAAATGGATACAGTCATCCCAGACAATCGACGAGTAGACATCGAGCGTATAGAATGACCAATACTACACAGCATCAGTTAGTATGGTACAGACTAACACCGAGTGGGCGTTCAAGTGGACATACCAATCTCCGACGCTCTTCCCTCTCCGTAGAATCTAGCCCACCCAGCCAGTTAGCCTCATGCCACTGATTGACAGCAAGCATGGTGAAATAATGGCCGATGTACATCTGCGTCACACCGATCCTGGCATCCTGAAGACTTGCGAGCGCCAACAAAGCAAACCCTCTCAGGTAGTCAAAGTCCCGACATTGAAGAAGGTCTCTGGGACTAGGAAGGGCTTCTTCTACGGCGGCAAAGAACATCTGTGCTGGCGGCATCATTCCCGCGCCCACCAACACATTTTCCTGTCCATACCCATACCCATGGCCACTACCACCACCACCATCACCATTTGTTGGCGCGCCATCCCTCATCCGAGCTGAAGCAAGCGCACAAGCCGCCATGACAGAACAGAAGAATGCCCGGCTGCGACCATGTTCCAGCGTTTCAAGCCTTTGATCAAGCCTGACGGGGTCAAAGTAGGGAAAGCTAGACACCCACCCGCGTGTGTATGTCAGGATATGTATTCTCGCGTTTTGCAACACGCGCGACGTCAAATCGGGGGACCGGACTCACTCACATGGGGTAAACGGTCTTATGGTAGATAGCTAGCAGCTTCTTGATGACCGAGGTGGAAGTTCGGGCGAAAGCTTGCCATGCTTGGCTCAGAAGCTCACTCCGGCGCTCGTTCGTTGCGGAGCTGCTTCCTGCGTCGGCCAAGTCTACACGGTCATCGCCGGCGACCTGGGGTGGCTGAGAAATAGATGGAATTGCAGCAAGCTCTTCAGGATGAATTCGTCGATTCTGGCCAGCGATACCTTGGCCATCATCAGGACGATCACCTGCTCCTGCCGTCTTTGGGGAGCTTCGGCCACGCCTCAAGGGCCGAAGATAAGGTGCATTGAATGTCAAATTCGGCACAGTTTTGACAGCGACTTGGGTCTAGCCGATTCTCCTGGCACTTGATCCGGCGTTTATGGCAAAATCACCTGAGAATATGTTAGCTGGATTATGAAGGTAATTTTCGAAATCGAAGAAGTCAGCCAAGCCAGTTGCCTTACATGCCCTCGATTTTCGCAGCAGCCGGCGGGGTCTCTGAGATTCGGGCATCTAGTTAAGGTGGGAGGTTCAGAGTCCTACCAAGTAAATATAGGAGGTATTGCAATAGATGACGAGGAAGAAACTCTCACCGATGCCGGGTAGGCTGGATTGGTAAGGTACGTAAGAATAGACGAAATTGTCATGACTAGTAGGGCCATGACCGGGAGCAAAGGCTGACTCAGCCATTTAGATTAGATATGTGCGACTGCCTAGCGACTGCCTATGTTGCCCTTTCTTCCACCTCCTGTGCCTTCCTTCCTTCCTTCCTTCCCTTGTCTCATCCTTCCTTACCACTCTATTCCTTCAGTTTGTTTCACCGCGTTTTCTATTCATTGCCACAAAAAATATAAAATAAAATAAAATAAAATAAAAATCCGGAAATCGTCTTCCCTTCCCCTTTTTTCCTGTCACCTACAGACGACCACCCCTTCACACCCCCATTCGCTCCAACACCCCCTCCAAATCCTCACGCTCCCCACTAAACCTAGCCATCTCCCATAACATCCCCTTTGCCTTATACAACTCACCCGGCGAACCAACCTCCACCACCCTCCCACCTCCCATGACCACAACCAAATCATAATCAATAATAGTTCTCAACCGATGCGCAATCGTCACCAGCGTCCTTGTTTTCTCATCCCCGGCATCGAGTTCCTGTCTCAACGCCACTTGAATACCTCTGTCCGTCTCGTAATCCATGCTCGCCGTCGCCTCGTCCAAGAGCATCAGCTTGGACTTGCGGACTAGAGCCCGGCATAGGGAAAGCACTTGGCGTTGACCGTGGGAAAAGTTCTCGCCCTTGGCTTGGACGCGGGTGTCGAGGGAAAGGGAACCGGGGGTGGGGTTCGAGCCGGGGCCGTTGGCTATGGATGAGGAGGAAGAGGAGAGAAGAGGAGTTCGTTCGGTGGGTACCATGTCGTTGCCGCCGTCAATCGTCTCAGCCTCATCGTTGGTGCTGTTATCACTACTGCTGCTGCGGAAATCAAAGGATGCAATGCCGGTGCAGGACCTAAGGGCATTCTCCAGTGTCTGAACCGGCACGGTGCCAGATGGGTCAAGGTTTGTTCCAACGGTGCCATTGAAAAGCGTAGCTTCTTGGGGAATGATGGTTAGCGCCTGCCGTAGTCTCTTGCGTGAGATTGTTGTAATGTCGACGCCGTCATAGAGGATTTGCCCGGAGACGATGTGGGTAAAGCGGAGGAGGGAAAGAACGAGCTAGAGGATGAGATGAAGCAGGTTAGCCAAGTATATCAACAGAAAAGCATAGTCGGCATGACGGAGGTACTTACTGTGCTCTTGCCTGAGCCTGTACGTCCAACAACGGCAACACGTTGACCAGCGTTGAATTTGAGATTGATATTCTTGAGGATGTCCGGACCGTCAGGGTCGTATCTGACTGTTACGTTGCGGATCTCGATCGTGCCTGTCCCTGGCCAATCCTCAGGAACTTCAACCAATGAAGAGTCTTCATGTCTTTCGTTATCGGTGTCGGGTCGACGCAAGCCGTTCTTTTCGTCTTCGGTAGGAAGCTTGACGTACTCCTCGACGCGATGGAACTGTCATGGAATTAGCCCAGGTCCATCAAGACGGCTGTGACCAAGGTAAGAAGAAGCAACCAAACTTACACTCTGCAGTTCCACCTCCACGTCATTCATATACCTCACAAAATACAGAATCTGCGAACTCAAGACCGTCGCATTGCTCAGCGAAAAGCCCACCAGCCCAGCCTCCACAACACCAACCTTCCACACGGCAATCGCACCAGCAGAGACAGTGATCAGCGCAGCGACAAAGTCGATCCGAACACCGACCCACCGGTTCAGGTTGAACGATGTTTCCTGGGACCGCGAAAAAGACCTTAGACGTTCCGCCAACTGATCACGGAATGTGCCAGGCATGTTTTGTCTGGCACGGATAACCGCTAATCCAGCCATACTGCCACTGAACTGGGAGAACACGGGGCTCTGGCTGGACGAGACCAGCCTCTTCAGAACGACGGCAGTTCGGATATACATCTCGCCACAGCCGATACCTATCCCGACCATGAGAAGAGCAGGCAGCATGAAGATAGGCATGATGGAACTGACAGCGCCGACCTTGAAGAAGATGCCAATGCCCTCTTCAATGAAATATTCAACGACGGAGCTTAATTGACTATCCCTATTTTGGGAATCCGATTGGTTAGCATTTAGCTTCGTACTTTTGAAGTGCTAACAAGCATCGTGAGTTTAGAGAAATCGAGCAAAAGATCAGATACTCACAATGACCCGACATCTCGGCTGAACCGATTGACAACCCGTCCCACTGGTATGTTCTTCCACCAACCCAATGAGACATTCAGCACTCCTTCTATGAGCCCCCTGTGTAACTTGCGTGCGGCCAGCCATGCACCTCGGTTGAATATCAAAGGGCCCACCCCCCTCAGAAGGATCTGGCCAAAGTTGAAGGCGGCGTAGATGGTGATATAAAACGCAACATTAACAGCCTCTTTCTTGTTGTATGCATTGACCCAAACTGAGAGCCACCAGGTTGTTGCAAGAAGGGCAACAGCGGAAATAACCATACTGGCAAGAGCTAGAATAACGTACCCAGGCCCACCAAAGCGAAGCATGTACCTGAGGACTAGACGCATGAAAGATTGTCAGCTAAAACCACGGCGCAGAAGGAAAAACGTGTAGAAAGTGGCCATAGGTCTTACAAGTAAAGCGTCCTGATGTTCCGCTGGCACTCATCTCATTGGATATTTCGTCTTTGATCTTGGGAGAGCCCGCCCGGTTTTCGCCTGCAGCAAGTGGGACCTTTAAGGTGGCCGTACTCTCTTGGGACTCCTCGTCGTTGATAGTTCCGTATTCCAGTTCCACTGGTGTGCGCACAGCACCAATGTTCCTATCAATATTCTTGACCATTCCGGCTTCCATTGTGATTGCGAGATCGGCTTGGGAAGCTACCCAAGGCATTTGAGTTACCAGAATGACGGTCCTTCCCTTGAGCATATCACTGCAGAAGGAATGCTTCCATAGAGACGCAGACGTCTTGGCGTCGAGGGCAGAGAAGATGTCGTCCAGCAGCAGTAAAGGGGCCTTGGAATAGAGAGCTCGGGCAACTGCCACTCTTGACTTTTGGCCACCAGAAAGCGAGGTCCCGTTCTCTCCTACCTCTGTCAAGTCTCCTTTGGGAAGCTCTTCAAAGTCCAAGCCCAAGCAGCATGCCTCTATAACCCTGTCATACCTGACCTGTTCAAAAGGAGAGTGGAATAGGATGTTGTCGCGTACTGTCTCGCTCTGAAGCCACGGTGTCTGGGAGGCAAAAGCGATGTCACTGGGCCTGGTCACCGTCCCCTCTTCAAGGGTGGTCTCTCCCAGGATAGACAGGAGAAGACTGGTTTTTCCACTCCCGCTCTGACCACTGATTATGTTAAAGCCTCCCTCTACGAAGTCGATCGAAATGGCTTTGAGGAAAAAGGGTGCCCTCTTGCTCCGCCGGAAAGTGGCTTTCTGTATGCGCAGCGGACCTTCTGGATATTGGGTCAGTGGTGCTGTATTTGAATAAAACTTGTCCAGACGCTCAACGGAGACATGTGCGTTAGTAAGGTTCCGTGACATCATGGAAACATAACCCATGTTCTGCCTCAGGGTCATCACCACGGACAAAGTGGTGAAGGCAATAGGGGCAGTGAGGGGCTGCTTGATCACCCCGATGTAAAGGCTGAAGATAAGCAGTAGGGCAATAACGGGGATAAGTTCGCCCAACTGTGCGACAAGAGCGTACCAGAGGCAAATGTGCCAAAGTTCTTTTTGCTCGTTCTCTCGCGCTTCTTGAATGCGCTCAATGATAGCATATTCCCAAGCGAAGTACTTGATGGCTTTGATGGCTTCGAGGTACTCGGAAATCAGTGATATACGTGAGTCTTGCGCCAACTTAGCCTTGCGTTGCGTCTTGGTCATCAAGCGAGAGACCCAGGCTGGGAGCGGCAAGGAGAGCACCAAGAAGGCAAGACCGACCAAACTTGTCCATCCGACAATCCTGTAAAGACCGATGATGCTGATAACAATGCCTACGGGGACGCCGACAAGGCCAATAATGGCATCTCGAGCCCTGAACACGGCATCGATGTCACTTGCCATCAGATTGGCCAATCTTCCTTGCGACGTGGTTTGCGCTCTTTGCTCTTTGGCACCCCTTGTGGCGATATCATTCATAACGTCATCTTCGAGTTCCATACTCGACAAGGCCCTGTGGTAGAGCTCTTGGGTCATGGCGGACTTGAGGCGGACGACGAATCTGGTTCCCGTAAAAATGTACTGCTGCATGGCAATTGACCTTGCCATAGGACCAATGAAGAGCAGTGCAAGCCAAATAACGGGATGTAGCACAGCATCCTCGGGGGCCGATATATAGTTTAGAATCTGGTACATGGCATAAGGGGCGACAAGTTCGAGGGCGAAGGCGACACCGATCCATAAACACATGGCAACAATTTCGCTGCGCTGGAAGTAGAAGACAGTCCACATGGTCGTTTTGTATCGCTCGCGGACCTTGAGGATCCTGTCAAGTAGAAGCGAGGGCTCATCATACCAAGGAAGTCCTGGAAGGTCGTCTATATCGATTTGGGTGTGCCAGCCTTTCCAGATCAGTGGGGTCAGCCAGCCAAAGCTGAAGTAGAGGCCAAACCAACTGTTTGTTTCTTCACCAGTAGGCTCTGCCTCGGAGATGTGTTTGTATACGGCCATGTTTTCGATGGCAGGCGGAGGTCCCCATTCTCTCGGAGTGACGAGAGCAATGAGCGATGCGACTGCTAGACTTTCGACAGCACCGGCCGCCGTCCTTTCAACGGCCTCGTCCGAGTTCATCTTGAGAGAGGGGAGGAAATAGGCTGTGGCCAAGGTAACAAGGCAAGTGAAGAGGAGGAAGTTGATCTGATGCAAGATCACGCGTTGCCACTTTGGCGGAGCTAGCAAGCGAGCAAGGCCTAAAAGAAAAGCGAGGCCGACAGGAAGAGAGTCGTACCGATATTGATGGTAGTGGTAGCCGTTGACGAGGGTGAAGGCAAAGGCAGCCCCACGAGAGGCTTGGGAGAGAATCTCATGAGGCAGACTGAATCGGACAGCCTTTGTGGTTTCTGGGATGTTGACGAAGGAACTGTAGCGGCGGGTGGTTTCTAATGCTGTCCATACAAGGACAACGGCAACAAGACAAATCTGAACGACGCCCGACTTGGCGATGCGCGAACCCTCGAGAACCCAGTCAGCGCCTAGACTCCTAACCATGTCATTAGCAGATGCCTCGGAGATAGAAGATTATATGGTCTTACCTCTGGATAGATATGTCGAGTGGCGTGTGAGACTGGCCATCGTTTATACCGTGGCCTGGGATGCCGAGTGAGGCCCAGTAACGGATACCCCAATCCATGGTGTTGAGGGCAAATGTTGCTCACGGTATAGAGGTAGGCAGGCCCAAACAGTCGCCGGACATGGTGGTGTTGATATCCTCTTTATACAAGCAAGAGTCGGAACATGAAGAGAGAGAAAGGATTGTAGCCAAAGTAGCCATTTGTGGACTGTTTCCATGCTGTTGGTTGCTTGGGGCCATTCAGGTGGTGTTGGCTGTGACTTGGCTGTCTGGTGCCTGGACGGTGAGCCGCATTCAGTCTGCAATCCCACCATCCGGCAGGAGAACCCTACATGTCGCAATCAGCGCTTCTTGGATATTGGCGGATATAACATGGCCGTATGGACGGAACGGATCTTTGCGGGTGTAGTGATGACGGGAATTCGAGCGTTGAGAACAAGGTTGAGGATATGATGATGGAAAGGCCCGGAGAGGGGAACCTGCCTGGAAGGTGTCGTGCTTATTGTGGGTTGTCAATTGGCCAGTCATAGCGCTTGTCACCCCCAAATGCCCTGAAAAGGCAGGTACTACTGGGTCGCGCTTACAGTCCAATACTGGGTTACTTATTTGTTAGCTCGAGACCTCTGGTCAACCATCTTAGGTGTTTTGATATCTGATTGTTCCGTTCCGTTCCATTACCGAACAGTGATCTGACCTTATATATGCCACATTGAATTAATAATGCCTTTGCAATTCGAACCTAGCCATATCATTTTGTCCTTGTGAGGCTTGAGACTGTGTAGGATGTATCTCGTCCAGTGTTAAAGGAAGTAGGCAGCGCAGTACCGAGCTAACAGCCAAACCAGCATTAGATTCTACCACACCCAACCTCAAGATGCCCGCCCTTCAGGTTGCCCCCTTCTCCCCTTCAAGGTAGCTACTTCCTCCGTGACAGTCCCGATACCGGTATATGCATACATCCTTCGAGGGTGCATCAAAACACAAAAGCTTTGGTCGGTACGGTCAATCATCAGGAAAGCGGACGCAAACTGCTACTGTCCATTTGGCTGGCATAATCCCAAAAATTCCGACGGGAATAATCTCAATGCAACTCTCCATCCAAAATGCACTACGGACGTGGGATAAGAATTATCATGAGCATAGTTGTTAAAGACCGACATAGCACTCTGAACTCAAGACATGGTCAAGCATGGGTAGTGAATTCATGGCGAGCGAGTGATGATAATCAAAAAGATTCGGACATAGAGAGGTAGCATGTCTTTGTCTTGACCGTGTCCCATCGTTGCACAACATACCAAGAAGCTGGAATCGACTTCGTTTCTTGCATAAAGGGCACTCTTAGGCACTTGCAACAATGAAACCGGCAAGTGCATGAGGTTTTCTTTTGCTCTTGCTTTCCAGTCAAAGAGGCCCGGAATGGTATACAGTTGGAAGGTGCCCACCATTGGGCGATGATCCATCATGGTGGAAACCTACAAGGTCTGGGTAGTTCTGTCAATACATATCCAGTGGAAGATCTTTGTCCCTTGCAAACATCTTTGTGTTGGGTTTGTTATCCTTACTTCTTTTCCTGCTCATCCTTGAAGTCAGCACCTATCAATATCCTAGAATTACGCTACAAGACTATACCTCTACCTCCGAGTGCCGCAGTGTACTAAACACAATACGTTGTGTTCCCTTGAGCAGCATTCCTCAACCGTCATTGATCATCGTTCCTGCCAAACATTGTCCTTCTTTCTGCTTCTTTTTCTTCGGTAACACGCCGCAATCTAGTGCATAAAGCCAGTCCATCCTCATCTCAGACCATCTTTTCTCGTCTTTTCCAACCCCTGGTCCACCACACCTCGGCTCTTTTTTGGTGATTCTTGGACTTGTCACTTTGGTCGCTCAACTTTGGTCCCACGCTTTTGTCCCTACCGACTCAGCCTCAGCATCGATACCTCTTTCTTGAAAATTGGACAGCAAAGTTACAACCATACCTGCCGCAATGTACCGCCTCTCGCAACTCGCAGCGTTGGCTGCCACTCTGTCAACAGCCATGGGCGCTTACCAGGGCTTCAACTATGGCTCTTCATTCACCAACGGCGCTGCCAAGCAGCAGTCTGACTTTGAAACCGAATTTCGAACAGCCCAGGGTCTTATCGGTGCTCCTGCTGGGGGCTTCACCAGTGCCCGACTGTACACCATGATTGTTAGTTACTCGAAAGCCCTCCTTACCCCCTTCCTTTTGTGCCTAGCCTCAGTTCTCTGACCGTGAGCCTCGTTGAATAGCAAGGGGGTACGGCAAATGCTCCCATCTCCGCCATCCCGGCTGCGATTGCTACCAAGACATCGCTTCTTCTTGGTCTGTGGGCTTCTGCTGGCGATGTTGCGTTTGCCAACGAGCTACAAGCTCTCAGCTCTGCCATCCAGCAGTACGGAACGGCCCTTGGTGGATTAGTAGCCGGTATCTCTGTGGGCAGCGAGGATCTGTATCGCATCTCACCTACCGGCCTTGAAAATAAGGAGAATCCAGGAGCTGCTCCTCTGACGATCGCCCACTATATCAAGCAGGTCCGTGATATCATCCACAACACGGCTCTTTCTGGTGCCCCGGTGGGTCACGTTGATACCTGGACGGCCTGGGTCAACAGCTCCAACCAAGTAGTCGTGGATGCTTCCGATTTTCTTGGCTTCGACGGCTACCCCTATTTCCAGAAAACGCAGCAAAACGACATCGTCCATAGTAAGTCCCTTTTCGACGACGCTCTGGGTGCCACCAAGGCTGCATCCCAAGGCAAGCCCGTTTGGATTACAGAGACCGGCTTCCCTCTTAGCGGCAAAACCATGGGCCAAGCCGTCCCTAGCATCCAGAATGCCAAATACTACTGGGACCACGTGGGCTGCCCTCTGTTCGGCAGCACCAATGTCTGGTGGTACACGATGCAGGATTCTGCCCCGACAACCCCAAACCCTAGCTTTGGTCTCATCGGCAGCACGTTGACTACAACTCCCCTCTTTGACATCTCTTGTAGCAGCAAGCAGGGCCAGTAAGTGACACGAGTGATGAAAAACTAATGTTCTGCAAGTGTACTAACACTTGGCAGAACTAGTTCTTCATTGATCAGTCCCTCTTCTGGAATCAGCTCTGCTCTGTCGCAAACGGCGCAGTCAACATTTTTCAAGCCATCGGAGACCTCGACGATAACTTTAGCCACGACATTTCTCGCTTCAAACGGCACGATGACTGTGGCTAGCTTTCCTTCGGGTACTGTGAGTACTGGAAAGGCAAGCTCCATCAAGGGGTCGATGGGAGAAGCGATTGCGGTCGTCATGATGGTGACGGTGATGGCTCTTTTCGGTCTCTGATCTGCGATGTGATTTGTTGAGTTTCTCTTCTGTTCTCAAGTCTGGTGGGCAGTATATCGGCCACCGTGTTATCGTATGACAAGGTTAGTGGTTTTTGTGTTGCTCAAACTTCTTGAAGGGTCCGTAAACACAGGGAAGGGAGCAGCAACTCTATCGAGCTGTTGTTTCGGGGTCTAATGAGGGTGTCATGTTGCCATATTGGAACAGATGGGGGATGTGTTAGTGGACACAAGATACAAGCTTTCTGGGACATTTAGGTTAGATAGCAACGCATCCTACACAGGTTATACTTACAAGCACATTATCAAGACTTTCCCCGTGGGTTACCGTACCCTCTCGATCATGGGCATCTCGGCCATGGTGTTGTGCTTCATTGCTGTGTTAGGTCTTGTGGTGGCCCACCCTTGAGAACCTTGCTGGCCGGGAGTTTCCATCCGAGTTAAAGCAACAATAAAGTCCGGATGAAGAAGTGTGTCAACTGAGGAGCAGCCCACCACGCTGTTGATAAGTTGAATGTCGGATCGATGAGCAGTTGACGATGCAAAAGTGAAACCCCCAACCCCGAATTTGGCTCCCGGATGGAGATTCCCGATTTGACCCGGGCGGCATAACGGCAGTGCGGCACGCGACAGGGCACTGAGCAGTGAGCGCTAGTAACCACAGTGGACCTAATCCTATGGGCATTGACATCAGCCCTAAAAACGGGGTTGCGTCGTATTCAAAACACAGGTGATTTTGCGGGGTCGTGTCCCTGTTTTATCGATCCCCGGGCCCTTCTTTACCGCACTGTTTTTGACTGTGCCGTCCCGTCCTCGCTGTTGGCGCCGCCGTCGGCCGGAACGAGGACACAATAAGAGATGAACAGCTCAGCTTGATCCCCACTCACGCCTCCCTGGGCCCAGCTCCAGCTAAGATACCTCTAGGTGTCCATGTCTCTCTGAATCCCGTCCAGTCTCCGCTTTCCTTTCTCATTTCCCCTTTTTCTTTTCCTCTTCCCTCTCTTCATCACCTTCCTCGTTGTCTTGTTCTCGTCTTGCCTTGCGACTATTGTCTTGTTCCTCTTTCTCCAGTTCCAATTGACGGGGTTTCTGAGCTATTCAATTCTCAATTGCAAGCTCCATCTACCTACCCATCCATTCATCATGGCGGTGGGCATATCGCGGGCCAAGTGCCTGATGACGCTCTTCGCGTTGGCGTCCATTGCCGTTCTCCAGGTTTATGCGCGTAGCACGCACGAGACGTACGGCACGGAAAGGAAGTTGAGTCCTTCGGACTTGAGTTTGGAGGAGCTGGATGGGTTGTTGCAGGTTTGTTTACTTTCCCAGCTTCCCCCCCCTCTCCGCTGCGTCAAGATATGTCGTTAACGAAACCCGAACCGCTAACTCGTGACTCGCTCGAATAATAGGATTGCCCAATAGTCCAAGCCCTCTCCGCCGAAAAGGTCGCTGCCCACGCGCACCAAACCTCCTCTGCCACCGAGCGTCTCTTCGCCATCCTCTTTCCCGGCTCCCCCGCCGTCAACGCTATTCTCGCGACCCTCTACATCTCCGGCCCGCCCAACTTCCTGCTGGCCCTGTGCCCGACCAACATCGACCCGTCTTCGCTCTCCGTTATGGTCGCCTTTGCCGTGGGCGGCCTGCTGGGCGATACCCTGTTCCACCTGCTTCCCGAGATCTTCATTGGCGAGGATAGCCACGAGAGCGCAAAGTTTGTGCTGGTCGAGCCGAACAGGAACCTGCTGCTGGGTGTTGCGATTCTGGTTGGATTCATGACTTTTGTGGCTATGGATAAGGGCTTGAGGATTGCGACAGGTGGTGAAGGCGGGCATGATCATTCTCATGGACATTCGCATGGTGGTCATTCGCATGTGGCGGAGGCGACTGGTGTCGAGGCTGTGAAGAAGGGAGATGTAAAGAACAGAAAGGGTGACCTGAAGAAGAAGGATGTTGGGGACGCACAAGATGAGGATGACAAAAAGGAGATCAACCCTTCTGCTAAGCTGGGCGGCTACCTGAACTTGATGTATGTGCATTTCATCCCTCTCCTGACTACCGTACCGGGAAATCCGATGAAGCTAACGAAATATCGGACAGTGCCGACTTCACCCACAACATCACCGACGGCCTCGCCATGTCCGCCTCCTTCTACGCCTCCCCCACCATCGGTGCAACCACCACCGTGGCCGTCTTCTTCCACGAGATTCCTCACGAGGTCGGCGACTTTGCCCTGCTCGTCCAGTCCGGCTTCTCCAAGCGCCAGGCTATGGGCGCCCAGTTCATCACCGCCATCGGCGCCATGCTCGGCACCCTCATTGGTATCGCGGTGCAGGAATTCGGCGGCTCTGGTGATGCCAATGGAGCGGCGATGGGCATGAAGGAGGGCCTTTGGGGAACCAGCTTGACCTGGGGAGACATGTTGTTGCCGTTCACGGCGGGTACCTTTTTGTATGTGGGCACGGTTGCTGTCATTCCGGAGTTGTTGGAGACGGGCAAGGATAAGGCCAAGGAGTTGAAGAAGACGCTTGTGCAATTTGCGGCTATTGCGGTCGGAGCGGGGATTATGCTGTATATTTCCTGGCACGATTAAAGTGAAGGATTGAGGAATTGAGTTCCAGAAGTTTGTTTACTTCGGTCGGGTTTAGTCAGGGGCAGGTGGGTTACCGGTTTGGATGCTTTGAGAACTACCAGGGTTCATGAAGATGTAGATATGGTATGTTTGTTGAGCGGTACAGGTACCAACGGGTCTGGAAAAGTTTACTTGGTCAAGATGGAGCCTTGGACTTGAATGGCTTCATGCTTAATGGTAATGGTAATAGACATTATCACAACTTTCCATCTCGGCGCTGCCGAATTTACAAAGTGATGAGTCAGTTACTGGAAAACAGTCACAGTCACAGTCACCTAACATCCTTTCGCGTACTAGATTCATTCATCATCGTCTGGTAAAATCAACACTAGGTATCATGTCCCAAACAGACGCATAAGCACGGAATAATAACCATCGAAGACTCTCCACTAGGTGACAACACATGGTGCCTGAGCACTATGGTAAGGTATGACTCCTCCGGTCAGGTCAGGGGTTAGGTAGCTCTAGCGGCCTGTCACCTCTTTGGAGAGAGCTACACTACGTAACCCAAGTGGAAACATCCATTCATTCTCTAGGGTCTACTGTAAGGTTTCACAGCCGAGATCAACACCCGAACGGAACCCAGGAAAGCCGTCGGCCGGAATTCCGATCCTCGGAGCAAACTACCTCTAGCATTAATAATCGGCGAAGAAGACCCCTTGACAGGATTCCGTTGATGTTAACTTTAGGTAATAGCATTGTCTTACTCCCATGTTTAGCGTAGCGACCCATCTGCCTGGGTCGCAGTTGGTGGTAGTCTCTAACGGGGTCTGTGACTCGTGGCCAGTGAGTATCCTAGACTTACACTACATGCAAGGAGGGCGTAGGTAGGTAGTGGTTGATGGTGGGTGCCAGCCGCTGCCGGTGTCGAATTGGACGACTACCTATTGCCCTGCCCTGGTTGATCACGCTCGTATCGTTTTACCTAGCGCCACTCGTCAATGATTGAACAATGGTTTATGTGTCCCTGTGGTTTAAGCCAGCTGAGGGCTTGTCGCGTCGTAGGAAAGGTGTAGGGAGTCGGTCGCTTGTAGCTAGGTGCATAGGGGATGAATGACTGGACGGTTGTCTACTAGTGGTGTAGATTAGTTTTGGTTTCTTAAACTTGGAGAAACACTACATTGTTTGAGCCTCTCTTAGTGTCAAATAGGCAATGGATGACACAACTTCGAACTTCACGATGTTGAAACTTGGGATGAGTCTTTCGTCTGATGGCTAGTCTATGGTAGTCTCTTCTCAAAACGGCTCGGGAAGACGAGAGAAGGAGAAAAAAAAAACCAAAAAAAAAACCAGTCCATAGGTAGTTTAGAAGTCTGCGAGCGAGACTAACGTCACCCATCTCCATCCAAGTGGAAATCATCGATTGTTAGTTTTTCTTAGTCTCTTTCCGAGTCACTCAGTCCTTGATTTCGAAGTTTTCTTGTTGCACACCGCTGGAATTGTTCACAGGGTAACTGGCTGATGGCTCCTCTCTAAGCTTGCATGTTTGTAAGGTATGCACCATGCAATCTGTCCTGTCCTGTCCCTCGTACCGGTACTCGTGCCTGTGTAACGGGCCGCCCCCTTGCAGCTATAAGTACATTTCAACACCGGTAGATGGAACACACTCGCACACGCAAGTTCGGACGTGTCTCCCGAGGTCTGCTACCTACGTAGCTTCTGACACGACTGTTGGTAACTTGTTGTTGACAACGGGAAGAAGAAAATGATTGCTGAGTGCATACGACACTCCTAAAGCTCCGTCCAGTTTTAGATTTCCTTTGTTAGTTCAAGAGTCTGAGCTCCGAAGTACTTGTAGAGGCATTCAATACCGTCAGGACCGAACGACAGCTTTCAACCGACGGAGCCGATGACAATCCAACAACACTTCTTGGAGAAGTCCGTGTGACACCCTGGATGAACTTGAAGCATTGCCACGGCTCACACGCGGCTATGTCAACTCTCTATCATAATGCTTCAAGGGGGGCCGGCCAGCCAACCGAAGCAAGGGTCACGACACGGTCCGGTTGCGGGAGAGAGACCTTTGCTTTGGCGGGTACGCAGGGCACAGGGCGGGGATGGAGGCAGGGGTAGGGGGTGGTTATGGTGAGTGCTGGTGCATGTGGTGAGTGGCGAATGGTGCGACGATCGAGTTAACGACAGCTCTTGTTTCCCATGGGGTACTTGGTGAATGGCTGTTAAGGGTCCCTCAAGTCTGTCTGCCGGAGATGATGACCAATTGGCAAACCACATCTATCTGCAAACGTTATCTCGAGGAACTCGACATGCCAAGTATACCAAGCTTTTGACCCCAGCCCAAAATCGCAATGAAGAAAGCAAGAACTGATTCGAACTCACAGTGGAAAGGAAAGCCTGGATGACTAAAGAGTTCCGGGACAGCCAGTCTTTGTCGTGCAATTGGTGACTGTTTTGCTACGATATAGGCAAGGACGGCCCACACCACGCCTTGTCGTCGACAAGTGGAGAAGACGACCTCCGTTAACGGCGGCTTTGGTGTCATCCGTCGATCAAACCAAGACTGCGCTAATGAGAATAAAGTTAGCGTTGCACGAGCTGCCTGTAATTCGGGAAGCGCATCGCATCATCTCGACAAGGAAGGGACGGGACTCCGCTTTCCTCGTTGACGTTCTTGCTTTTGAGGGTTCTTTCCATTTGCTGGATGACGCTTGCCCATTTTTGAGGTGCTTGGAAATTATCAACCGAGGGTACCTACCTAGAGATGGGACTGAGGTTGAAGTCGACCATGGCTTGTACCAATGACTACCGGAACCCCATTCCAGCATCAACAACCGAAAATGATGCAGAAACAGAGGGAACCACGAGGACAACGAAGTGGTCATCCACTTGAACACTTTGACAACTTGGCGCATCTTCTATCACAGCTTGGCCTCCAAGCCACCTTTTTGCCTTCTTTCTCCTTTTGTCTGACAGATGACTGTCGTCGTGGGCTAGAATACCAGAGCTGTACCAGAGGTAAAAGTACCCGACCAGGCTGTGTCCGCGGGTCCCCAACATTGTGGGAGGTTACATTTGACTGGCCGGTGAGTACCTATTCGATACAATATTCCCAGGCCAAGAAGCGTCCAAGAACACCCCCGCCTCTGCCACGACAATTGGGGTCAATGGGGTCAATGGCGGATGGATGCTCCATGTGTGACGCTGTCTCCATGGAACCACCCTCCGCTAGTTCCCCTACACCCACATAACCACCACAAGAACACACTTCCATTTCCATCACCGTTCAAGTTAATGCATAGCAAATGGCATGGCCCACACCGGACAGGCTCGTCCGGCCACGCCAGCCGATGAGGCGTCAGTCAGCCAGCTTTCGAGAAGCGAGTGCAAGAGGAGGGGAAGCTCCAAAGAGAAAGCTGCCGTAAGCGAGTTCCCATTCAAATAACGGTTAGGCTCAGAAGAAGAAAGTCCTACACAATACCATTTGGCTTTGTAAGTGACTCAGAAGTCTGTTTTCTTTGTTAGGAATAGCTCCAGCCAGCCGCACCACATCCCTTTCCACCTCCTCCGATGGAGCTATTCCCAAGATAGCTCAGCGGCTACACCTACACCCCCATGGTCCATCATGGTATTCTTGGCGGTGGGCATGCAGCCGTTTAGAATAGTGTGTACCAAACAGAGGAAAGATTCCCTACCTTTTCTGTGGGAGGTATAAGGGAACGGCATGATCCACGCCCTTTGTGCCACATTCTAGTTGGGCATTCGACTTGCTATTTGGTATTTTAACTTATTAGTCTACTCCTCAACCCCCTCCATACCTCCCAGAAGTCTCAACATACACACTACGTCTCCATCACTTCCAAGTTTCGACTGGTCATCGACCCATAGGAGATCCATTCTTCAGAACCTCTCTCCAGACTATTTTCGGTCCTGCCGGTTTTCCATTATCCAGTGTCAGACTCTTGCTCTCATCAACCATCGTACCAGCTTGTCTGGCCACGACCACCGCAATGGTTTACAGGCAGGCCTTTGTGGCCGGAATCATCTCCTCTAACGCCTCCTGTCCTAGTGAACTCGGCAGCGAGCTAGGATCCGGACCGAATGCCGGTAACAAACTAGCTCCTTACCAAAGGTCCAACATCGACATCAACGTTACAAACCATTACAGCTCCAAGGTCTATACATCTTCCTCACCTATCGTTGGCGATGTCACCATCACAACCAAGCGAGATGTTCGTTTCGACTCCATCGAAATCATCCTGATCGGAAACACAAGGACAAGGACAGAGGGTGTGAACTCACCCGCCGAGATTGCACATACCTTCCTCAAGCTGGTCATGCCCATTCCATCATCAACATATCCGGTGCCGAGGGTGTTGGAGAACGGCAGGACATTGACAATCCCCTTCAACTTCGTCATCCCAAACCAACTGACCATCGGTGCCTGCAACCACAACGTGCAAACCGACCAAGTGCGAGATCAGCATGTTCTGCTACCACCAAGCATGGGGAAGGAGTGGGAGAAGGACGACATGTCACCTACCATGGCCTCAGTTGAATACATTATCAAAGCCAGGGTATTTCGCCAGCCGAACGTGGGAGGAAAGCGGGTCAGGATCATGGAAGCTAGAAAGTCCATCCAGGTGCTGCCCGCTTCGCCCGAGGAACCGCCTCTCAACATCACCGAAAACGACAAGCTCTACTGCATGTACAAGAAGAAGTCCCTACGGAAATTACTCTCCACCAAAATCGGAACCCTGACCGCCGAAGCCATCCAGCCACGGGCCGCCATCCTCCAACCCAACGGTCGAACACTGACCTCCATCCCCATGGCCCAGATCCGACTCAAGTACGAGCCCACCTCAGCATCGCAACAACTCCTCACTCCACCCACGATCACCAACATCTCCGGCAAGGTCACCGCCCACACCTTCTATAATTCCGGCACGGTGCCTACGTTCCCTAACATGGGTGACTGGACTGCAGATTTCTCGACAGAAAAGCGCGGAGTTTATTCGACTTCCGTGCCGCTGCGCAAGATCTCCGTGGCCCAGCAGCCGACCTGGCACCAGCACCATTACTCGCTCGAGAGGCGAGATTCTGGTTACGCCAGCGATTTCAGCACCCCTCGGTATCACAACAACAGTTCCTCCGAAGGCGAAACCACCCCCGGTACCGACACCGAAAACCGCCAACTTACAACCCAACTACCACCATCACCAACCCCGAAACCAACCAAGTCCTCCTCCTCCTCCTCCTCCTCCTCAAAGAAATCCAAATCCTCCTCCGGATCACCAATCTTCTTCACCACAACCCTCCCTGTCCCCATCCCCCTCGACTTGCCGCTCGACAAACGGACCTTCATCCCGACCTTCCACTCCTGCATCGCCTCGCGCGTCTACACCCTGACGCTCTCCATCACGGCTTCCGTTTCAGCTTCAGGCAGCGCCAGCACCACGTTCTCCTTGACCATGCCGCTGCAAGTAGCGGTGGAATGGGATCCTACCCAACAGGAAGAGCAGAGGGTGGATGGTCAGGGCTTACCGCATTTTGAGTCGTTGTATGGTGGTACTTATGGTACTTATGGGACTGGTATGGGGATGGGGATGGGGATGGTGACGAGCCAGGAAGAAGAAGAGGCGGAGGGGGCGGATGCGGATGCGCATTTGCGGCCGAGGGTCATTGGGCTGCCGCCCGATGAGTGGTATCGGGAGAGGAGCGAGATGCAGATGCCAATGCAAATGCAGAGGACGGGGCAGATGGAGGGAATAAGGGGAATGGGAAGGCAAAGGGAGACAGGTAGTGGTAGTCAGGGACGGGAGGTGAGAGTGGATGAAGGAGGGGGGTTGCCAGGGTATGGGGAGGCCATTCTTACGAGGTGAATCCCTTTTTTCCGTTTTATTGTTTTATTTTCGTTTTCTTTCTTCTTCTTTTTTTTTTTCTCATCTCCGCGGGCGTGTTAATGTTGGTTATCGGCATATACGGACTGGAAAATAAGTGCGAATACCGGATGGAAGATGATACCATGGCGTGGATATGGACAGCAAATTCCCTTGACTGGACAAGGATGCAGGTTGTACTATGATTTGTTTACTTTCCCCCTTTTTTCTATCTGGGTGACGATAAGGGGTATAATGGATAATACACGATTTTGAACAGCCGATAGTTCGTTAACATGCATGAGAACACCAAACTCATCCCCATTATACATGCTTCTCTATGTTGTTTCTCAATAACCACCTCGCATGCATTCCTGTTTTCAATATGTATGGTGCCATCCTCGTTAACGGTATAACCCAAATCCACATCACCACTTTTTACCCCATTGTACAAACAACACCAACAAAACCAACCCATCACAACTCAACAACCTGAACAGGATTAACCACCCTTCCCGTATTCCCATAAGTAACACTGGAATTCACCAACAGACCCCCATTATTCGTCCCCGGCCCTTGCATAACCCACTTCCAAACAACAGCAGTGGCCCCATACCAAATCACCCTTGCGGCATCCATCAGGTCCATCCCGACTCTCTCAATAATTTCCACCAGATACAAACTCAACGCCACCCCAAAATAAACCGGCAACAGCAAGATATTCACCAAATTCGTCGGCCTCTGCTTCACCAGCATCTTGGAAGGTTCCTGATTCGGCGAGGCAGACTGAACAGAGGCTGAAGAAGCCGGCGGGAAAGAAAACAACGAGGGAAAAGCCGGCGGAAACGGAACGTCAGCGCCGCGCGCCATGAGCGACTCGTACGCCCGCTGGCACTCGTCGTAGTAGACGGCTTCGCTGCCGGCGCCCCAGTGGATGTGGCCGAAGACGTGTAGCTTAGGCTTGACGCGCCAGAGCTCAGCGAGAAGGCCGGCGCAGCCGAGGTCGAGGTCGAGGTGGTGGCGGGGAGGGGTGTGCGTGATTAGGATGTCGGTTTCGAGGGGGATGCGGTTCGTCCAGGGGTGATCGGGGCGGTCGTATTGGAATCTGCGGAGGTGGTAAGCGGTGTAAGTCAGATGGAAAGACAAGTAAGGGAAAAGAGACGGGAACGAGGACAAAAAACTCACGCATGCTCCGGCCCACCACACCTCGGCACCCCTCCCCATCCCCAAACATTCAACTTCCTCCCCTTCGCCTTCCCCTCAAAGAACGCAATCGTCATCACCCCTTCCCCTTCACCTTCACCTTCACCTCCGTTTCCACCCATCCCCATCCCCATTCCATCCAGATAATGTACCCCCTCAGGCCACCTTAACTTCCCATCACCACCATCCATGTCCCCAAAAACACTCCCAGTCAACACCCTCCTCGCGCCCTCCTCCGGGCGATCATCAAACCACCCATCATGATTCCCCCCGATCACCAACACCTTTTCAAACCCCTTCTGCCTCTTAACTTCACCTAACCAATCCAATTGCCGCTGAATCCCCTCTTTGGACCCATCATCAGTTAAATCCCCCGCGTGGATTAACAGTCCTCCTTCTCCCCCCTCTGGGATTTTTTCGAGCGATAGTTCCGTGTCGTGCGTGTCGGAGATGCAGACCACGCGGATTGGAGATAAGTTGGAAGGAGGGTGGAAGACGTGGCCTCTGAGAAAGAGAAAGAGACGGTAGAGGTGAGAGATAACAAGGCGGAGGAGGGGGAGGGGGATGGGAATTATGTAAAGGGGGAAGGATTGGAGGTTGGTGAGGAGGTGGTTTAGGGGCGTTGGGGGGTCCCATTCATCTGGGCGGAGGAGGCGGAGGCGTTGGAGGGTTTTTGTGATGCCCATGGCCTCTTTCGGATTTGTTTGGTGAGTTGGAAATTTGGTTCGGTGAGGTTGAAGATAAGGTATGATTGATTCCCCGGAGAAGAGAGCGGTAGGTGGCGTGGAGATTGCAGTGACGTGTTCGGGTAGTACAACCCTCGAGAGCTGTCTTCCTACGGGCAGTTTGTCCACTTCAGCGGATGGGTATGCTATGCTTCGTCTCTTGGGCCCTTGAGTTAATGGCGGGTGTCGATGTATTTATCAACACCGGAGTTCTGATATGGTAAAAGACGGTATAAGTTGTCCGGGTACGGTGCCCCTCAGTGATGTGGTTGGGCAGAAGTTGGCGATGAAATGATTAAAGACCGGGGCGAAGAGGATGGGAGAGATGAAAACAGCCCAAGACGACGGGAACTGCCCGGAGCCGGGCCTACCTGCCCCGCTGCGCGTAATGCATTAGGGTACCTGAAAGCCCCTGTACTTTTGCAGATCCCAACATGGTGTTAGCGCTTTCCCTCATGACGGCCGTTACAATACGATAACAGACTGTAAAGGTTGACCAGATTCACCAGAATAACCTGAACTTGGAGTAGGACACTGCCTTCTCGTTGCCTTATGTAGAACGTATTGCCTCTAGCAGCTCCTCATTGAAGGTATCACGAGAGGATGTTCCCATGACGCTGGTAAGAGGATTATGTCATTTTGCTACCTTACATCTATCGACGATATTTGATGTCTTTCAATGTCTCATACGGTGGTACGCTAACTAAACTCGCGGGTATAATGATCGCTCTTGTGTTCTGTTGTTTATTTTCCCTTCCTTTATCGGCTTGCTCATTCCAAGACACCCACCCACCAGGCATTACAACATATACATAACGACCTCCCTCCTGTTTGTGCGCCGTAATACTTCAAGAAACGAAAAAAAGAGTAATAACCAATATTCAAAACCCGCCGCGTGAAAGGACGCTCGCTGCCGTCTGTCGTGCATCCATCGGTCCCACGCTGAAATGTATAGTGCTGAAAAAGATTTAATCGACCTTGATGGCTCTGTATTTTAGCAAGTTAGCAAACCATTCTCTTTTCACACAGCACAGGACATGAAAATCATAAAGACTCACCCGTATATCCTCCTCACAAAAGCATAAGCAGTCAAGAACCCCACCGTGCCCGTCAACAGGCCATACACACAACACGCCATAAAGCTGTAACTGAAAAACAGCATCGAGCTGAGCAGTCCCGTGATGTGCAGCTTGGCAAAGTAATACCACACGCAGTACAGAAACACCCAGACGGCGCTCCCGCCACCGATGAAGAAGCTCTGCCACCACCAGTGGTAGTTCTCGGCACAGAGCTGGATGTAGATGCTCACCACCGTCACCTCGGCGACCGTCACGACCAGGATAGCCAGGACGACCGCCAGGAATCCAAACACGTAATAGTAGCCGCTCTTGTCCTGCCACATGCTCTGAAACACAAACAGCAATTCGATAAAAATGACGGCAAACGGTATCAAGCCCGCCAGCAGCACCGTTCGCAGACCGCGGAGATACCACGCCTGGACGGGTATCTGGCGCGGAATGGCACTAGTCTTGGTCGGGTGCTCCCAGGCGCCTTGCTTACGGACGAAGCCGTACCAAGATCCCACGTAAACCAGGGGCACCTGGACGCAGAGCCACAAGAAGATGATGGCAACCAGCGTGCCGAACGGGATGGCGGTGCTGGAGGCCTGGGCCCAAACGAACAGGTTGAGGATGAAGACGATGGTGAACAAAAGTCCCGGGAAGAGGACGGCGGTGACGACCATGTTCTGGCGCCAGCGTTGGCCGCCAAAGGTCTTGTATACGCGTGCCGAGAAGTAGCCGGAAAACAAACCGGCAAACACAAAGAGGCCGACGCCGAAGCTAACGAAACCGCCGCGGTAGCTGGGATTGAGAATGCCGAGCGCGCTCAGAAGGACGAGGCCGATGGCCATGAAGAGCAGCTGCATTCCGGAACCGACCAGCGGGGCGAGCAGGTGGCCGTAGGCGGGCGTGCGGAAGACGTCGGCGTGGAGGAGTTTCCAGCCCGTGATGTCCTCGAGGGCTTCGTCGTCGCCATCAACGTCGGAAAGACCGTCGGGGCCAACCTCTTGTTCCAAAAGCCCCGGTACTTTCTCGGTAGCCGAGGTGACCTTGGTCCTGCGCTTGGCTTCCACGTCGGCTGATCTGGCCTTGTATCCCCTGATTTCGGACCGGATGGTCTTGGCGACCACCATAAACACGACACCGGTCAAGACGCCGCAGATGATGACTGAGTTGACGATGGCCAGCCAGTGGATCTTGTGTCCATCCTCCTGGTTGACAAAGTAGAGATCCCACCGTCTATGCCATTCGATCGAGGTATCCTCGCGAAAGTAAACTGAGTAACTGTATGGGATGGTGAGCTTCGCATCGTCGTCATAAGTTTCATCGTCCTCGACATAGTACGCTGACCCGGGGCTCAACTCCATCGTCTTGTTGGGCGCCAGGTAGAGCTCGAAGTTCTGCTCCACGTCTTGCAGGTTCGCCGGGCATCCGTCAGCATTCTTCTTCACATCCGGACCCACGCTCTTGGTATACACCTCAAATCCAACCACGACCTTGCTTCCCCTCTCTCCGTCTTTGCCGGGGGCCTTACGATACCGGATCACGATGGTATGGTGGTTGTTGAGGTAGTAGCGGGGACGACCCGATGAAAGATCCGTGTAACCGAGCTTAAACCCAGCAGCGTAATACTTGCGTGTCTTGTCGACAGTCACGAAGCTAGTAGCGCCGGGGAGGTTGTCGACGATCCACTCGACCACATAGCCATCGCGGACGAGTTGGCGGGCCCGCTTCAGCTCCTTCCGGGTGATCTCGCGGTTGCAGAGGAGGTTGCACCCAGAATCGTGCTTCATCCTGAGCTCCATGTCGGAAACCTTGATGCGATCGCCGCGCAACACCTCGCCGAGATTGAGCGGGATGCTCTGTCCGCTCAGCAGCCCGCCGAACTTGTGCTCGCCCGTGGGTGGACAGACGAAGGGTAGATCGTAGTAGGCATACTGAAGCTGAGTGTTGTCCGAGTAGACCTTGTTGACGAGAAGGGGGATGGCCTCGTCTTCCTTGTAGCTCTTGACGGACCAGCCTGGGATGTAGAAGGCATGGACCTGGTGACAGAGAAGAAGGGCGAAGAAGGCTACCCACCGTAGCCTGAAGGCCCCAATGGTCCGCTCCATTGTTGTGTAGTTCCCGTTCGATGGTGTAGTTTCCCCCTGTTGATATTGTTGTTGCAATTCAAGTCATACAATGGGTTAGAGTTGTGTCGATAATTAGGGGTGATGCTGTTACGTGGATCCCGAGGGACGGCAAGCTTATCGTCGGGTAGAGAGAGGTAGGTACCGATCGATGTACAAAGTGTAAATAAACGGGCCGGATACCCGCGGGAAAGCTCGTATTCCCTTGTTAACGGGTGAACCCCGCTCGTCTTCAGTCAAAGGGAATCGACAAGCCGTTTGGGATAATGTCTCGCAGAATAGTGAAGTTATCAACGTGTCTGGTATGAAGTTCGGGTGTCGGGGACGAGGATGGATGGGGAGCGTGATCGTGATCGTGATCTCTCGTGGGTCTAGCGGAGTCTCGGCGGACAGCTTGTTGATTCTCTGGGGTTCCAGAAAAAAGGGGTCCTCTTGTTTAGTGCCGGTGATCCCTACAGCAACACGAACATGTGCCTGTGTAAAGTGAGGGTTGAGGGTCCAGTTCGGGGAAAAGGGGAGGCGCGTCCCTTGAGAAGGGGGAAAGGTGTCACGGTCACAGAAGAGGAAGAACGAATGGAACTGGTACAGAGTACCACAAGTCGAGCGTCGAGTTGGACAAACGAGTGCAGGCGTAGTAAGGAATTGGGTGAGAGATAGTAAGAGGTACCTAAACAACTCCACTGGGCCACGAAGCCAGGCAAAGTCTTGAGTCGCGGATTCCTTCAGAGTTGGAGTTTTGTGTTTGACGGTTAAAAGAAGGTGTTCAGGCCAAAGATCATCCAATGCATTTGACAGTGACCGTCCGTGGGGGAAGACCACCCTGGAGGGAAGTCCCGTCGGGGGAAATGAGCGGGCGAATGAGAAAGGATTGTGGGGCACGAGCTTGCGTGGTCTCTCCAGCTCGCTTATCCCCTTTAGGAATAGCGTTTGCAACAGCCGCTTTGGTGCTTGGACCAAGCAATCCATAACTTAATTAAGCTCATTAAGACGCCTTGGCATTTCTCCTCTTATTCCTCCTCCACTGCATATACACGAAACATAACATTGACGCTCGATGGCTTTGATGAAGCCGATATGCTTGACACTTTTTAGTTCTAGTTGATCTTGTTTTCCATCATGATGGAGTATCAGCTTCTTCAAGGGCGTTTCTGTCCCGGCTATGTCTTTGAAAATTCACGACCAATGTCTCGACTATTCTCGCAGAGCCCGATGCTAGTGCTAGGGGGAGGACGGTCAGGTAACGTCCAAGCAATGTGAACTGATTGTATATATCCGATAACTCTTCATGACGGATTGACAAAAGAAATCAATGAACAATGCAAATAGGCAAGAAAACATTGCCATGGTGTATTTTGTGACGACCAAGCAGATGATAAAGATTGTCTGGTTACCCTGGATGTAACTTGCTACTCAAACCTCCAGGGTAAGGTAAACAAGGCAGTGATGCCCACATCCTCCAGCTGTCTACCGATATCATGAGACCCAAGTTGATCCAACCCACCTCCTGCCAGCCCCAAGATATAGGAAAAGAAAAAAAATCAAATCGCTAACCAAACCCCAGCTTTTAACCAAAACAAACCACCCTCCTCACCACAACTCATAAACTGCAACTGAAACCATCACATCATTGACAAAGGAAAACTCCCAAAAGCTAGAACGTAGCTGACTTCCACTCAACCCTACCCTATCTACCCTATCCCTCAGTATCAGCATGATGCTCTTCATCCGAGTATTCCCCACCTCTGCTGACTGCCACTTTCTGTATCGACGTCTTATTTCTTATCCTTGGACTCTTAAGGCTTTTTGGACTCCTTGGACTAGTAACCACCCCTTGTGATGTTTGAGGTCTTCGTTTCTTGACTGCATCTGTGGCCCGCTTGCCTGCTTTGATTTGCTTCCTTCGCTTGACCGCGGATGATGTGGCTGCTGCTGCTGCTTCTGTAGCAGTGGCGCTAGTTGGTGTTGATGGAGGCAGTTGTTGTTTGTCTCTGATCTCGCTGTGATTTTCCGTTTCATCCTTTCCCTCTTGCAGCATCTTTTTGCTTTCCCTTTTTCTCTCTTTGTGTTCTCGGGCGTGTTGATTTCGACGTCCTTGCTCTGGCTATTAGAGACCGGGGTAAATAGACGGGTGCTACAACTAGTAGTAGGACGAGCCAACTCCGAGCTTTGTATTCCTCGACAGCTCAAAACAGCTGGTGTCCTCTTCGTCCCCCGCCCACTCTGCAACGACGAAGTCCTGTCACTCCCAAACGTCCGAGTTCGTGGGACATGGCCCACCACACCGCTGTAAATCTCTCCGCTGAGAGCGTGATGATGTTGAGGTTTGGGCGAATGTAGAAGAACAGGAGACATCAAGCCCGAGGAATGTTGTTCGTAGTCTGTCTCATCCGAGTCATCCTCGACACCTGTATCAAGGATATACGACCGCTGTTGTCCGCCGACCGCCCTCCCAAACGACCCGGCATTGATCGGCGTGGTGGCCCATGAGGAGCAACGACAATGCTGCTGGTTCTGAATTGGAATCGGGCTGGCTACCTGCTCGAAAAGTGTATTCGAGTCCAACAGCCCGGGTAGCTGAGTGCCGTGTGCACCATAGCCAAAATCATTGAACAGTAACTCTTCCTCGCTTTCGCCGGTATGGCGCTGGTGACCCTTGATGGAGGATGCATCTGTGGATATGTAGTCGTCAATGTTGAAGTTATCCGGAGCTTCTGGTATCGGGAGGAACGTCAAGCTTGGTAATTGCGGGGCACTTTTGAACGATGTTTGGCTCAGGTTGACCGAGGTATCAGCTGTGTGTTGGGATCTTGAGGGTGAAGACGGGTTTGATCTCAAGTCCGAAATTGAGAGAGTCGAGGATGAGCTCGACCACGGTCGCTCGTGATGATATTCTGGGTTCACCGCAAAGCACTTTACTGACGAGGCGTTTGATGTTGGACTATGGTCTCCAGGGGCAGATTGCTCCTCGTTTGCTGAACCAAAAGAATTTTACACGTTAGAACAAAACCATCTCCCGAGTAAACAATCAAAAGCCGGAATAAGTTAGGGTACTTACGGGATAATGATGCAGGTTTGATAATCTCTGGCGGTGCCAAAGACAGAGAGGCACCAAGAGCGGACGGTTTCAATGTAATGGGAGAAAAGGATCTGAGGGGCCATTCGATGACAGGAGGGAGGTCCGATACTTCGGTTTCCTGCTCGGTGGTGGCGGCTATTGTCTGAACGCTGGTGCCACTGTTCGATTCGACGGGCAAATAGGTATTGACAGACTTGGATCGTTGCAAGTTGCAGTTCGCTGGTAGCCGTGGACCTAGGGAGAGGGCGCCATCTGGATGTTCGTAAGCAGAAACTTGTCTGCCATGGGAGGTTGTTGCCCGTGATGGGATCGGGGAGTGGGCCGGGTTGGTCGACAAGTCAACAGAAAGTTTTGACGCCAGTGTTCGTGTCCTGGCTCTGTGAATGCTTGGTTCCGCTTCAAGTTGCTTTGTGATCTCATCCGCCTTCGACTTCTCAAAGATCATGGAGGAGCGGGCATAGAATGCCTTGACAGAGGGTGAGTCCAGGTTGTGACCGTTTTCTCCCAAATTCCTCTCTGCAACATCTTCGCCGTAATCTCTGGTGCCTGTAGCTTTTATCCGTATCTTGAAGTTGATAGGCTTAATCTCCGAGTGGGCTTCTATGATATCCCTGTAACGGCTTCCGGTATTGCTGACGATCGAGTTACTCCTTGAATGAACAGAAGGAGCTACTTGTGGCTGGGAAAGAACTTTGGCATCAATCCCATTCTGTGAAACTGATCGGGCAAGTGGCGAAGTCTCGGGCCTGGCCATACGGAATGAAAGTGGAGGTGGTCTTCTATGCGGGCTTTTGGTATCCGGTGCAGCTCGTAAACTGCCACCGGCCCCTAGCGAGCGAGAAGGTGTCCGAAACCCATTCGGTGCCGAGCTCGGTCTCTCGATATCCTCCGCTCGAAAACCAGGGATAATGGGACTTGGCATCAGGAGTCCATCGGTCACTGATCCATCGTTTCTGACAGCAATCTGGGCCTGGTTGACATCTCGTGGGAGGATCTTGATGACGAGTGGTCCATTTCCTCGTGTCGGTTTCGTTCCTATCTTGGTTAGCAAATAATTTACATGACATTGCGATGGATGAGTGCGAATGACAGCTTACCTAGAACAGGGGGTGTTCCAGCAACCATAGACTCATAATCTAATGATTTGGGGGAGACATCCTCTTTGCTCTTGTTACCCGACCTCTTGCTGAATAGTCTAAGGAAGCCCATTGTATCGACCAGAAGCTGACATTAGCAGCCAGAAAGGACTGGAGTCAGTTCAAAGGTTTGATTGAGGTAAACACTCTGACGAAGTGAAGGTGATGTTTGGTATGTGGATAAGCGCAGATACCAAACTCGACTGAGTCTGGTATCCTGCTTCCAGAAGAGTACCTTGGTTTTGAGTCTTGCTCGTGTCGCACTCGCTGTAGGATATCAGAAGTGATAACCAGGGAAACCTTTACAAAATTTATGTTGTAGAAGATGAAATGTGAGAAGCGGAAAAGCAAGGGACAAAAGTTGGTAAGAAAAAACCGACAGGGTGGCAGAAGCGGATCGAGAAAAGGAGCAGAAGAAAAGAAAATGAAGAAGAGGAGGAAAAGGAAAAGCAGCAAAAAACGGCCGTGATTTCTTTCGAGGAGGACGGGTTTGCAAGCCACCGTTCCAGATCAAAGTTGATATGCCCCCATTACCTCAGTTTACCACGCAACACAGTGGCTGTTGAGGACGGAGGAAGGATATGTTCACTCAGCATCCCGCTGGCACGGCATGCCCAGCTGAGGCGCTAGGTTACGCCGTGGGGCTTCCGGGATGTTGCCATGATCAGAGGAGGCTCAGTGTCCGTGGAGTCTGCTTGTGCATAGTAGACAGTTAGACGAATTGACACTGGCTTTGTTCAAAGTGGTGAAAAGTTGGGATTGGTTGAAATTGGTTTGTCAAGGTTCCTATCTTGGGAGTTCCCGGTGCGAGGTAACACATTCGGGAGGATGAGTACATGTTGAGCGAGCGTGTCTGTTTCTGATTACCGTTCTCTCACACCGTATCTGGCATTTCTTGCCAGTCTTCACTTGTACTGACTGGGTGACGCTCATGACTGTGAAACGTCAAGCAACAGCCATTTGACATGGTAACTTTCCAGCTTTGGATGGGCGGGGAGGATGAGGCCACACGCAAGTTTGGTGTCTCGATTATTTCGAGCAGTGAGGCTGCCGTTTAGCGTTTGTTTGAAGTTGTCTATGGCTGATGATCTTCGATATTAGACCAACGGATGTGAACGTGGGTTGTCAATGAAAGATCTGTGAGGTACCCACCTGAGTAGTTTCCTTCCTGCGTTTGCTTTGCTTCTGCCACTTTCGCCTCCTGCCTCGTCCGCCTCGATGCAGTGGTGCGTTTGTTACAGAACTCGGGAAGGCGCTGTTTGTGGTCGGTGACTAGTCCAGCGTCATCATCTCAGCTGCACTTGCTGCTTTGGGTCAGTGGTAAATTACCATGGATGATTCATGTTACCATGGCCGAAGCACAAGCAAGACAAGCATCACTGATGATCCCATTTGGCTTTGTTGATCGAAGTAAACAAAAACGCAATCGAATCAAGGTTTCGAGAGGAAACTTGATTGTAAGTATGCGGGTGAGTTGTCTGGAACTCTGAAGAGTTGGGTGGGTAGTTAGGTACCACTCATGTCATCCCGAGAAGTAAGGGAGCTAGATGACCCCCTGGTCTTGTGGTATTTTCAGCAATCTTCACGGATGTCTGGCGCAAAGGATCGCTATTCTGTTTCCATCGTTCTAGCGGTTCAGGTAAAGCCAGGGGTTTTCGGCGCCCCTGTCATCATTAGAGGTACCCATGAGCCCATTAGCCATACATAGGGCCAGAGATATCTTGGCTTTTTCTCAGAAGCACGCCAAACGTTCGTATTCTTTCGGTTTACAAACGTTTGCAAAAGTCACACGTCCGGCACAGTATGATGTATGATGAGGCTAAACTTGGAATTAGATAAGGGGGCTCTCAAGGCCTGTCAGTAGTGTAATCATGATCTATTAAATCTAAGGAGTGAGCGATCAACGACAAGGAGGTTTCACGTACTTATCAGAGCCGGCTAGACCTGACTTCATCTCTTGCTGGGGATTGTTTTGCAAAAGAAATCAGGCGTGATCGCCCCAGTATCAGATCTCTTACCAGAAAGTCCAGCAGGTGCTTCAAGGGTTCGTACTATCCGCGGAGCCACCCGACCTCCTCCTCCACAAGAGCAATCAGAGAGACTGGCAAACTAGGTGACCCAAATAGCTCGCATTCCAAAGCAAAGGGCCCCTGCTAATTTCTTCCCGTTTGGCCCATGCCAGTCCCCGTCGGCAAAAGGGTTCTGCCTTGTTTCTACCTGCTTGCTCCAGCCGTTACCCATAGGGACGACCACTCAATCCTTGACTTGTGTTTTTGATCTTCGAGTTGCCCATTAAGCCCTCTTCCCGCTGGTAAGACGTTCTTTTTTGCAAAATCCCTCCGAATTCTTGAAACAAGTTGCACGGGTGGGTGTGCTAGTAACCAGGCCTCTTCTCGTATCACGTATCCGTTGCACCTGTGTGTCGATGTCATGTTGCTCGAATCTGGTCTTCGTCCTTGTCAACTATGCATGCCTGGGCCTTCCCCAGGAACCCATCTGTGGGGGCAAGTGTCACATATATAGTGGTCAGCGGGATAACAAAATTCCACCGGGGGGCCGGTCAGGATCTTCCACAGTCCCGGTCCCGAGGAACTGGGCAATTCTATAATCAGACATTCCAGATACCCTACCAAACTGACGCATTCAGAGACTTCGATGGTTAATACGGGTTCCGAGCGTTTGGCTGTGACAAGTAATTGTTCTGTAATCCCTGTAAAATCTAAGTAAAACGACTTGATCTATGTCTAGCGCCGCCATAAGAAAAGTTCAAGCATGGTATATTCGTGGGTCTCACACATACGCTTGCTGATATTCGACCGTTTGCATCCCTTGAGCTGGACCTAGAACAAAAGACAAGGCAGAACCCCGGTGTAAGGCCTTATTCCAAATCTCCCAAAACCCGAGGCCAGGAGAGGACGCATCTCATCCACCCACTCTCTAATCGAAGCTGCCGGCAAGTGCCACACAGCTAAACCTCAAGTCACCGCCTCCTCTCTCCAAGAACTTGAGCGGACCCAGCGTCAAGGCCGTTTGGCTGAGAATATCCTCATCCTTTTCCAGCTGGCCCCTCTTGAGCGGCCCCTTCCTGCCTCCGTCCAGCTCCCACAAGCCCCCGTCCTCCGTCTTGACGAAGCAGACATAGTGCAAATCGACATCGTCCGTAGCAGCCGGTGCCATGGTATCGCCCTGGGTCGCGGCGCTCTTGTGGGCATTGGCCAAATCAGCGTTCATCTCCAGCAACTTAGCTCTCCCGATAGGGTCCAGTGGCGTCGCGTCCTTGATGATCTTGTCCAGGGTCGAACCCTCCTCCACAAGCTGGCGGGCCGGCCCGTTGACGGCCGCGTGGAGCAGGCCCATCAGGCCGCAGGCGTTGCGGATCGTCTGGCGGAACCAGAGGACTGGCTCTTGGGGGCCCTTGCCTGAGTAGTCTTCGAGGAGAGAGTCCTCAGCTAGGCGAGCCGATTCATAGGCGGCGGAGACGGGGAAGACCATCAGCAAAGCCAGGGCGGGGCGCGGGATGAAGGCGAGCATATCTGGGTCGGTGAGGGAGTAGACGTCGTGGACCTGAAGGGTATTCGAGAGGCCGAGCTTGTGGAGGAGGCTGGTCATGAGTTCGGGATTGGCTTCGAGGGGGATGAAAGCCGGACGGTCGGCAGCGGCGGGGACGCCGCCATGGGGATCGGCTTCGTTCGAGGCCATGGTGATGGTATTCGTTAGGTTTTTGAGCTCGCTGGCTTGGTATTTCTGCTGAATATGGGTTCAAAGGAGACTTGGTCAGCTTTGGAAGCAAATGTTGCTTGCTGTGAGTGCTTTGAGAATGCCTAAAAAGATGTAACTTGACGAAGTGTGACCCCGCGGTCGGCGCGCACGGCAACCCCGCGCTGGTCGACCCAGGCAGGGTCTGATCATCGTAAGGAGAAGTGTAAAACTTACATTTATTTTTCAAAGCTTCTGGGCTTGATGTGAAACTCGTGATTGTGACGTTGATGGCTCGTTTGGTCAAGGACAGTTGTGATCAGAAGAATGGTCGCAAGTTGATGGTTCCTGGAGAGAGAAACGAAGGCATCCCTGTGACGATGAGATCATATGCACATTGTGGAGACCTTGACAGTTCAGTTTCTGGTGGAAGCTCAGCCCAGGGGCAGCTGAGTCCGCTGGGTCACAGGGGCTCCTCACTGTATGCGGTCCAAGAACAATACCGTACTGTGTCCCATCTCTTTCGTTTGTATCCCGTCACCACTCCGAGCTACCTACCTTAGTATTGAACCCGTGATGATTCCCCTCCTCACTTGTTACTTGGGTGTCCTAATAGGTCAGCGACACCGAGAGCAAAGACGACTCGAGGTAGAACTTGTAGCCATGGAGAGGACTATATATCTTCAGATAAACATTCCTAGATTGAACGATCATTCCCCAACGGCCAGACTAACCAACATGCCCCAGAGTACCAACGCCGGCCATCTATATAGTTCTACTGACATTTTATCCCGTTTTGGTAGACCTACAGATAACATAGTACACATCCATTTACAGCGCTTCCCATATCGTACAGACCGTCGAATACCCTTATTCTTGGGAGACAGCACCCGTGGGGCTCGCTGCTATCCTGCGAACGCGAACCGGCAGAGCAGCGTTAACCTCTTTCTTCTCCCGGTACAACGGGTCCTCGTGTCCCTCGGCCTCCCACAGACCTGGGCCACTCTCAGCGACAGGTGCATCCTCGACCACTTCGCCAAGAAGTTTCTCTTCCTTCTTGGTATGCGACTGGGCCTGGCGTCTGAGAATCTCACGACGTTTTTGTTGCCTCTCCGCGTCGAAATCGGCTGCTTCAAGACAGTTTGTAATCTTCTCCTCAACCAGGGATTTGACGTGGAACGCCAGCTGTTGGCTGATGAACACGCCACGGTACCGGTAGCTGAGCCACAGATACAAAGTGACGGCCTTGTGAAGACCTTCGAGTCGCACCAAATGGTCTTTTCGTGCTAGGGCAGTGAGCGCTGAAGGATCAACCTCGAGCACCTCCAGATCAATTTCGGGGATCTCGAGCAAGTGGCCGCCGGACAGATTGGCAATACTCCAAGCAAAGGCCCTGAGAACGTCTTTTTGAGCCTGTTCACGGAGCGAAACCGGGGCTGTCAGCAAGACGGAGCGGTCGTATATGCTGAGGTTGAACTCCTTCAGAACATTGGAGATCTCGAGGACATCGCCAAAGCTGCAGATGTTGAAGGAGCTCGAGAGTCGTGCCATCTCTCTGAGTCGGGAGAGAACGAAGGCAAGGGGAATGTCGGGAGGGAACAAGGAGGCAAACCGCTCGATGATATGCGAAGGCGGCATGATACCCGCTGCAGTAATGGGCTTGGCGTCTTTGAGAAGATGCTTCTTGATATGCTCGAGATCCTGCTCATCCATGGCTGTGACGAAGCCCGGCGCTCCCCACTTGCTTTGGGCAGACGTAACTGAAGCCTCCCCTTCGTTGCCCGAGCACACAGCATCGTTGGCTGTCCTATAACGACCAGCCCTACCGCCGATTTGCTTAACTTCCGGGATCGTCAGGGGGCGCTGGGTCGAGCCATCGAATTTGAATGCCGATTCGAAGACGACGCGCTTGATCTCGAGGTTCAGACCCATGCCAATGGCGTCACTGGCAACCAGAAAATCGTACTCGTTATTCGGATCATTGAACAAGGCAGCCTGGGCCGCTCTGGTTTCAGGCGGTAACGAGCCGTAAACGATAGCACATTTACGCCCAGTTGCACCTTCGATACCAGCTTTCAAAGCGTGCAAGTTGACTCGAGAAAATGAAATGACAGCGTCACCTTTCTGAAGATTCTTGAAGTCGGTGCCAACAGCTTCTTCCATGGGAAGCAAGGGGTTCAGCCTCTGATAACGGTGCACGATGCACTTGTCGCCCAGACGAGCACAAAGCTCCTGTATCAGATCAACCACTCTTTCCTCGCCGCATAGATGAAGCTCCTTTGCCTGACAGCCCAGGACCGCCTGGGTCCAAGCCCAACCACGGTGTTCGTCGGCGATCATTTGAATCTCATCAATGACGGCGACATCAACCTTCCAGTTCAAAGGTGTCATCTCCACCGTGCAACTTCGGAAGAACATGTCGGCATTTTCCGGTATCCTCTGTTCCTCGCCTGTGATGAGGGCACACGGCTTCCCCTTGGCGATGAACCGGGTGAAGATCTCGTGAGCCAACAAGCGAAGGGGCCCGGCGTAGATGCCCGATTTTGCGTTTTCCAGAGCTTTCAGGGCGTTGTATGTCTTTCCAGAGTTTGTTGGCCCAACGTGCAAGTGGATAGTGCGCTGCAGTTGGCGAGTGGCAGGGAACCATTCGTAAGGGAAGCGCAAATCGGCAACTGTGAGGTGCAACTCGGCGGTGGACTTGGAGAACTTCTTGCGCATTAAGAAGGTTTGGAGCGCGTACCGAAGCTCCTTGGTCAATTCTTGCATATCGCCCCTGATGAAAGCAGCGCGCAAGTTCCAGAACAAAGGGTTATCGTTACGCGCAGTCATGTTGAGTGCGCTGGCCAGGTTGAACGACTTCTTCAGAGCATCTTTGAAGAGGGAGATCTCCTGGATGTAGTCCTCTTGAGTGTGTAGCCCGAATGCTCGGTATTCCCGGTGCTCCGGGTCCCATCTCCCCATTTCCCGTAGCAGATGATTTAATCGGTGCTTGGCGAGGTCGTAGAACTCGCCGTATCTCTGTCGCAGCGCCGGTTCGGATGGTGTCGTCCTGCGTTGTACCCTTTCGCGGTCATTGAGGCGTCGTCGTAGCTGTTCGTCAGCTGGCAATTCCTACAAGTAAAACGAAAAAAGGTCAGCAATCCGGGAAGTGAGAGTTCGAGAAGAAGGCTGTTGGGGAATCGAACATTGAAGGATTGAAGTGCATTCGAGCCGCCGCGCGCCGCAGCCTTCTTGGGCGGTTTAGTCGACTTCACCCGGAAGCGGCGAGTAACGAGGACTGCGCTCCGCGGACATCTCCAGGCCTGCCCTAACAACGCGTTCATAACGGTGGACGAGATGTGCCAGCGATCATCGCTCGTCCTTCGAGTCGGCACCAAAGGTGTTGGAGTTGGGAGGGGAGGCGTGGACTTGGAGCTCGGAACGACGGCGTGGGATGGAGGCGCTACAATAATTCTTATCGTCAACCTTGAGGATCCAATTCTTTTCCCTTATCGCTTGGCTCCCCTCTCTTCACACTCTTGGCACTGTGCCGTCTTTGACCCCTGGGGCTCCGCTGTTCACCCCGGCTGAACTCCAACTGGCCCACACGCCAAGCCCACAAGGCCGTCAAAAGGTGGAGGTGTCCTGCATCGTCATCATGCAGCCCGTGAGTGGACTGTGACACTCCGCTGAGTCCGCTCTGTAACCTCAGTGGTAACCTACCGTGACCGACAGCTGAGTATTTCGAGAATCTCGGGCTCAATTTGAGCATCCATCATACCATCGAGCACCACGCTACTATCTCGACCTTCAGACGCATAACCCGATCAATCATAATATCTGCCAACGATCTTCGACAAGTGGAAACTCCCATCTCCCTCCGCACTGCGACTTGACTTACACGACTTGGTGATCCCATCAAAGGATCTCTACGCGCATCCAAGATGGCCTCATCTTCGACTCCAGGAACTCCTCTCCTCTAGTACGTTGCTTCACTATCTTCCTTGTCCCACAATCTCTAGCCTAGAATAGTTATTCAAAAAGTTCAACACTAACAACCGTCTCCCACACAGCTCCTGCATCGCCCACAACACCACCATCCTAGCCGAGTGCACCACCTCGGCCTCGTCCCAGACCTCCTCCCTCGCCTCGCTCATCCTCCCCAAAATCGACCACTCGACCCCTCAAAAGCTCACCTACACCCATGGCTCCTACCACATCCACTACATGTCCGAGTCGCCCTCGGACTGGACGTCGCAGCCCTCCGCCTCCTCGGCAGGCGGCCTCACCTTCCTTGTCGTAGCCGACTCCTCCCTAGGCCGTCGCATCCCCTTCGGCTTCCTCGTCGAAGTCCGCAAGCGCTTCCTGGCGCAGTACCCTCCTGGTCCGACCAACGACTTCGCCGACATGCCCAACTACGGCGCGGCCTCGTTCAACGGAGAGCTCAAGACGCTGATGGTCGACTATGGCACCACGGGCCAGGGACAGAACGATGCGATCACCAATGCCAAACGGGAGATTGAGGATGTGAAGGGGATCATGACGAGGAACATTGAGGGTCTGCTGGAGAGAGGCGAGCGGATTGATCTGTTGGTGGACAAGACGGACAGGCTGGGCGGTAGCGCGCGCGAGTTCCGGGTTAGAAGCAGGGGTCTCAAGCGCAAGATGTGGTGGAAGAATGTGAAGCTGATGGCGCTGCTGGCGTTGGTGGTGGTGTTGATTGTGCTGTCGATTGTGATGGCGGTCAAGAACAGCTTGCCATGAATGATCGGGGTTGGTCGGAGCAAGTTTTGGGTTTCCGGTTTGCCTGGGGTTGGACTTGGGTTTCATGAGTGATGGGTTACGAAAATACGGTGTCTTATGTTGTCATGCCTTCTGCTTTTCTGTTACTGCTCTTTTGGCGCTTTTTCGACATTGTACGGTTGCGTTTCCTCTCCTGTTTCTTTGCGTCTGCTTCGTTCTGTATAATTCGTTAGAGCCTGTGTCATTGCTGTGGTTTCAATCAAACGCTCTTCTCTCCTATCTCACCTTTGGACATGACAAGAGCCCTTGGCCGAACCTAAGTGTAAGCGCTTGGTAAGTTGGTCGTCGACAAATGGGAAGACGGGAAGGAGCAGAGAGATTGTCGGAGAAAAGAAGCCAAGGGAAAAGAAAGATGGCTAGGATCCAAACGATCCTCCCAGCAACAACATCAAGGCAGACCATTCCTGCAGAGTCCGCAACGCCGAGTCCGCAACACCGAACTTTGCTTCGAATTACACGCTTAGTCCCGTCACTTATGATATGCTCTCCCCTCAGCAACTCTAGGCCTGGGGAAAAAGATGAGACAAAAAGGTCGCAAAAAGATAAAGGAAACAGCTGAAAAAAAAAAAAAGGAACAGGTTATGGACGAACCGTGGTTTGAACACGGGACCTTCTGTAAGAGCTGCTGCACTTGGACAAACAAGGCAAATTGCGAAACAGACATTCTACCACTGAACTATCCGCCCATGGGAAGTTGTTGGAAGTTTGTGTTGGGAGACAAACTTTAAGGGGCAAGCGAGACCTAAAGAGGGGTCCACTTTGGGTTTGGGATTTGGAGTTGCTTGTGGCAGTGACTGCCTGATGGAAGGAAGGTACCTGGGAAGGAAGGGTGGAAGGCAGGTATCGTGGGCTGGTGACATAGACGAGAAAGGACGGATAAGCGCATTGAATTGGAAGAATCAGAAGAGCTGTTTATTTGTTTGTTCATGTTCGTTGTACGTCAAGGAGCACCCCTAGAAGTCACCACGCTGCCTCCTCAATAGTATTTGGCCCAAGTTACCGAAACGAAGCTTATCGTGATTGCCGTCCGGTCGAACCATCAAGAGGTGCTGTCGATTGGCAAGACGAATGGGCGTAGGTCGGGTACGCCCTGGGGCTAGAGCGGAGGGGGCTCTGGAGCAAGACAGAGTTGTTAGGTGAAAGACCAAATATATATACCTGGGGCTTGGTGTTGGTCCCCTGTACCTTGTGGTATAGGTTGCCTAGTTTGGTAGCCAGCCTAGAAATCTGGCATGTTGCGATAGCTAGTCGGAAGATACGTCTCCATCATGAGTTCGGCTCGAAGAAGAATCATGATTGCTCGAACATCGCCACGGAGGCCGTTCCATAACGTCCTATGGCCCTAAGATACTACACCGACGGTGCTACTGCCAGGATCCCATTCCGTAAGTACCGGCCTTGCATTCGTCGTGCTCTTCACATATCCCATCTTCTCTCCCATCCCTCGTTTCAGGATAACGGTGTGTCAGAGGTCCTCGAATCTGCCGCTCCTTAAATCTCCTCGGCCACGCATTACCCACATCCCCCACCGCCCCCCCCCCCCCCCCCCGCCAGCATCCTCATAACCTCGAACTTCCTCCCGCGACCTTCACCGACCCGATCGCCATATTCCCCAGTCCCGCAACCCCTTGCCCTTGAAATCTTTGCGCGTCTTGGAACATATACCCATGGACCACAGGGCTTACCGCATGCGATGACGATGTAGCGTGAGGTCCTGGTTGGATTGTGAAAGATGGACTTCTGCGTAATTTCGATGTGAAGAAGGCCGGGTGGCAGTAGGATGGATTCGGGGTCATGATAGGCGGTGGTGGTGGTGGCATTGTCGGTTTTTGAATGGGAGTGATAGGTTTTGTTCGTGACTGTATATTTGAAAGTGAAGGTGGTGATGATGTTGGGAACGGTGCATGAGCCTCTGTGGAGTTCAATGGGAGGGTCGTCATGGATGACCTCTTGACTGTTGATGGGTTTGGTTTGTGCGTATGGTCTTGATGTCGGTATTGGGCATGTAGATGTCTCTCGGCCTATGGTTTGGTAGTGTCGGGCTTGAACTTCGAGGTGGAATATATGTTAAGCGAGGGTATAAGTCGTATGCGCGGGCAGAAGTGAGTGTCTTTGGGAATGCTGGGAATGGCAGTTGTCTGAGGCTTTCGAAGGTTGAAGATAGATAGTTTCGCTGAGACTGAAAATTCGGCCTTCCGATGAATGAGTACGCAGCAAATGTAGGTTCCAATATCAAAGCGAGTTGACGGAGATCAGATGGGCAGTGTCTTATGCACCCCACGAATTCATGGTTCCGGGACGTTGGATCGGCCAAGATGAAGTTCGTCATTGTTGATCATCTTCACGTGAAGTGCCGAAGTGGCCCCACTATAATCACCGGCCCGGCGTGCTATCCCCGCTCGACATGGTGCCGAGCGAACGAGGGCTCCGCCCATGGATCGGCCCGTCCCCGAGCACCTCATTGGGAAAGTATCCCACTACATCTGGCTTCTATCTTTAAAAATTATGGTCATTTTGTCTATAAGAGCGTGAATCTAAGGCATATGGTTTTGCCCGTCTTCTTGGCCTCCCTCTAGGCAGTCTTTTCTCCGTTCTTCGCCTTCTTCTCACTCTTGGGCTTTTCTTTCTCTTTTTGCTTCCCCTTCTTGATGGTGTTGACCAAAGCTTCAATCTCCTCAACGCGCTCCCGTTCCTTTTTCTCCTCCTCCTTCTCCATTTCCCGTTTCTTCGCCCTTGCCCTTTTTGCAGCCGCTTCCTTCTCCCTCTCTTCAATGAGCTTATCGCTTGATTCCCACAGCTTTTTCGCAACCGCTTCGTCGTCCACATCCTTCCGTGCGCAGTCTACCACCATGCACTCCTTGACCACCTTTCCACCCTTGTCGCGAACTAGACTGCCTTCCATAACGGCCCACAAGATGGACTGCGCGCCCATCCTTGCGCTCTTGAGGAAAAGCCAGGAGAACACATAAAGGAAGAGGTATACGATGAGACCCCAAATCGTGCCTCTGGTAAGCCACCTGCGCATTCCAGGTGTTCTCGAGTATCCAGGGTCTACCAGGAATACGCGCGCGTTCATCGGAAGCTGATCGGGCCTCTTGTACGCGTCCAAATGCTTCTGGTATGCCTTGCCAAACACCATTAAAGCCAGCTTGCTTCGCGCATATGCGTTACCGGGCGACCAGTCCTTCTTATCCAACGCTCTATCCAACGACGGCGAACGGATGTAGGCGGGGCATGTCGGGATGATGATGCGCACGTCGCGGTCAAACGGTTGCGCGCGGATCGCGGGACTGAGGATGCCAAGTAGATGGAAGTTGGAGAGGAAGTTAACCTGCCAGGTACTCTCCACTCCATCTAGTGTCTCTGTATAGCCCTTCCCTGGCGGTGTAAGGGTCGCACCGCAGAGGATGATGGTATCGAGGCGGCGGGGAGGGGCGTTGTCGACCCATTTTGTCGCAAACTTTCGGACGCTATGCAGGGAGCGCAGATCGACTTGTTCGGCGTAGATAAGTTGGTTGTCGGTTTTGTCGCGCATGTCATCAATGAAATCGACGAGAAAGGGATCGTTATGCTCGTGGTGGGTAAGGATGATGACTTGGGCGCCTCGTTTGGCGAGCTCGTATACCGTAGCGGCGCCGATTCCTGATGTGCCGCCGGTAACCATGACAACTCGACCGTGCATATTCCGTTCGGCCGTACATGTCGCGCCACTGGCATAGATCTTGGTGAAAACGATGGCTCCGAGAGCACTGCCGGCCTTGGTGAGAGTCCACGGTCCGGGCAGCCATGATGGCCACCCGTCGAAGACGATGCTGGTGAGGAACGGGATCGGCATTATGGGAGATGCTGTTTGGAGGGTTCGTAGGTTATTCCGGTCTCTTTACAAGATCATTCTGCGGTTTGTCTAAGTTGTTTTGGAGGCAGAAGCACGGAGAAAACGTATGGGAAAAAAGAGGCCAACAAGCTCTAGAAAGGAGAAGCTGTCGCAATTGGTCGCGACTGGCCTCCAACTAAATGTCCACAGCAGGCCCGAAACACGAGTTACGTCAGGGGCTCAGGGGCTATATTTAGCGACCCACTCTACCAAAGTCACCGAAGTCCGATGGGATGGAACGCATCCATCGATCCAAATGGGCCGGGGCCGGGAACCGAGCCGCATCGACGGCAGGCATCAAGCCCACCCACACACACATCTAGCGGGCATCAAGGTTCTCGCGCGCTTCTATCAATTACTTCACGACTTGACGATCCACCGAACCTCACGTCGCCCCGAAGCTACCTAGTTTACAACTCACGTATCTGTTCTCACAACTAGCCTATCTCACTTCCACCGTCAATCAACAGATTACAACAAAGACCCAGCCAACAAACCGTGTGCGCATGCACTTCTCACCATGAGTTCCCCAAAAAGGCGAGCCTTCAAGGCTACAGACAACGATGATGCAGAAGACACCCCCCTTCACCACCTCCGCCCCTTTGGCACCGGGTTATACAAGCAACAGATAAAATTCGTCCCCGCCTCCGATGGCGATCTAGACTCGACCAGCTCGACAGCGGCCAAGTCCAACAACAAGCCAAAACTTGACGTAGCTGATCTCTACCTGAACATGGTTCTCGCCAACAAGGACAAACAAAAACAAAAAGAAGAGCCATCGACAACAACAACAACAAGAACAACAACAACGACAGCGACAGATATCACCACTACTACCAACCCCTCAAACACAGACACAGACACAGCCCAAACCACAAGCACAGCACCAACAAAGCAGCCACCACCAATAGCACAACCACAACCACAACAGCTTGAAACCTGCCAAATCTGCTCCCTCCCCTACGACCCCACCCCCTCCGGCCTCGCCGCGCACGAATCCTCCTTCGCGCACCAATCCCGCCTTCCACACTCGCACCCACCCTCAGCCTTCAACCGTTCACGGATGGGCCTCAAACACCTAACCAGCCACGGGTGGGACCCCGATTCCCGGCAGGGTCTCGGATCCGCGGCGCAGGGGATCCAGTTCCCTATCAAGGGCAAGAAGAAAGATGATCATTTGGGTCTTGGGATAGAGGTGCCCAAGAATGGGATTCCGTTGCCGAAGAAGAAGGAGAAGTTGTTGGATGCGAAGAAGGTGCGGAAGATGCAGGAGCAGGAGAAGAAAAGGGGACAGAGGATACAGAGGGAACTGTGGGGGAGGGGACCGGATTTGGAGAGGTATTTGGGGAAGGGGCCTGGGTAGTTGGTTGGAAGTCTGTATCAAGACGAATGTGACTCTGGGTGAGGACGGTATAAGTGAGGTGGTTACCTTGAGTATGGTAGCCGGGTTAAGTTGCTAGTAGATGCAGAACCCTGTGTAAGAAGCTTGCCCTTTCGGACACTTGAGGTGAAGATGTTGAGTGGTTTCAAAAATGAACAACTATTAATAAGGTTCAGCGCCTTTTGATTCGCGGTTCCATCCTCTAATACCAAGGCAACGCCATACGAGGAACATGAGGCGAGAGCAGATTTCCCATCTTCGTCAAATTCATCTTGCCACTTTGAGCTGGCATACAGCCGAGGAACTCCCTGTATTATATCTTCTTGTTCTTCTTTGTCCCTTTTATCCTCGACACCCACTGAAACGAACACCCTTTCTTATACCCGACCAACCTCCCAAGCAAACCCATTAACTGATGAAGCACAAGCACCCCAAAGCAACATAGAAAATCAGAAGGGGAAAGACCGCCAACCCAACCCGATTCTTTAGAACGCCGCTTCCACTGAGGATGCTCACGCCCGCCGCAAAGGACCAGCCTACAAGCACCAGGTAGACCGGGATCCTGGCGATCCAGTACAGCGAGAGAGCGGAGAGCATGGCAGCCAGGACGAGAGGGAAGAGGGTATATCCGATGATACAGACGCTTTGGGCAAAAGAGCTGTGGTAAGGTCAACTGTCAGCATGACTCCTTCTCGCAAATCAACCCGTCAATGAGGGCACTCACATATTCCCGCCCAACAACTTAATCTGCGCTGTCACCACCGCCTCCCCAATCCACACCATCGCAAACACACCACTGAATACAATCTCCCTCTGCTGCTCCCTGCTCCTAAAGCTCAGAAGGGTGCTCAGCAGCAAGCAAAAGATCAACGGGCCCCAAAGATCCCAATCCCTCAGCCCAGGACTCATATTCCCCTGCTGCAGCAAAGATTCGGGGTCCATCACCCTGCTCGCCAAACCCGTCAACTCGTCTCGCGCCCCCGACAGACCGGCGTTTCGGATGTTGGCATAAGCGCCCCGCAGCCCGTCTTCGGACTCGAGCATGGTGCCGCCGAAAAGGTAGCGCGGATACAGCACCTCGCGCATCTTGGACCACACGGCCAGCAGGTCGCGGCGGAGTGTCTCCCAGACGGTCTCGTCGATGGTGTTGGTGGGCGCGCGGCGGTCTTCGCCGGGGATGCGGTTGGTCCAGGCCGATTGGGTGTTGGAGGAGGAGGAACCGCCGGCGGCGGCGGACGAGGAGGAGCCGATGGTGCCGGTTAGGGGTGCGCGGGAGGAGGAGGGTCCGAGGGGGTCGTCAAAGTCGTTGAGGTCGGCTGCGATTGAGAAGCCTGCGTGTTAGCATTTGTCTTCCATTGTGTGCGTCGGATTGAGGGTATGTGTATAGGTAGGCTGGCGCGGTGCCCCTCCTGCTTTTGGTGAAAGCCTCTCGATTGTGCGGACCATCGGGGACCGAAGAGATGTAATGGCAAGAAACTTGGGGGCCTGGTACAGCTTACCATCGTCGGGATCTATCAGATCATCGTCGTCCAACATGGGTTGTTGACGGTGATAGTCTTTACCACCTGGCGAGGCCATCTTGTGTGTGTCGTTGTGTGTGTGTGAATACGGCCGAGCGAGTCGTTCGTTTGTAGCAGTAAGCTCCCTGTTTGGGTAGGCAGGTTCTTGGACGCAACCAAGGTTGGCCCCTTTCAGTCGGTCAGAGTTTGGTCAATTAGAGTATCAGGAATCGGTTCCCAGTTGCGATGGAGGGATACTAAGATGCCAGTGGTGTTCGTGATTCGTGGTGGTGATCCGTCCGGAAGCTGTCGTGTGTGTGGAAAGCTCGCAGAAGTGGAAGCTTCCATGGTCCTTGGGGACGAATGGATTGGACGGGCCACGTCCCCATGTTCAACAACGGCGGACGGCCCCTTCCCCCACGGTCAGGGCGCTGACGTTTGATGTCCGCTGCTACAGGGCAGTACTCCGAGTGGCCCAAGCTCCAATTACTCCAGGGTTAGGGTTCACCAAGCTAAAACGAATACAATGCTTCCATCTTCAATCATATTCCCAGACAGAAGATCTCTTGTTCTTTATTCATCATTATTCATTAGCCTCTAACCTCTAAGTCTCCTGCAGAGTGGTATGTTAAGATGACTCTTATAGCTAACATCATTTCCAGCGTCGATCCGCCACGATGGACTGATCCATCTTAGGCAGTCCTCGTTCATATCCCACAGCGTCTAATGTATCTGAAACAAGACAGCAACAGCAGGAATCGTCCTGATTCTTTCCAGTAGCCCCTATTAGACTTTCAATAAGTCAACAGGGCTCAAAACATAAATCATCAAGATAGACCTCCTTCGTTTTTTACTTCCCAGACTACCTCACAGAAATGCAACCGTCCGCTTAATGGTGAGCGCCCTCCGATCCAGTCGATGTGGCAGGAGTCGTGGTCGGAAACGCCTCATGGAGAGCGTGTGGGTTCGGGTAGTGGGCTGCCGCTACACCAATGGCGACATAAACGATGACGCACAACACACCCTCCAGATAATTACTCTTCTGGTCCCTCAGGAAGTTTCCAACAGTCAAAATGGCGAGGATCAGCATAATCAGGTCGAAACTCTCAAAGTTGAAGCCCATGGGCTTGTCAAGTCCCCAGCCGACGATAACCACAAGGGGGCCGTTGAGCAGAGCGGTCTGCAACGTCGAACCCAGTACTGCTGATAGGGCGATGTTCATCTGGTTGTCGTATGCTTCGTCTACTGCCGTCAAGTGCTCTGCCGCTTTTTCGACAAGCGGGATCATGATCAAACCAACGAAGGCATCGGAGATGCCGCGCTCCTCCACCACGAAGTGAATCTTTTCAACGAGGGTGATGGCAATGATCGTGACAAGGGCGATGCCCACAGCCAATGCGATAATAGACTCGATCATAGTGAGGCGATGACTACGAAGCTCCTTATGCTTGTCGTCATCACGCTCGGCGTCGGCCTCAAAGATCGCGTCGTAGATACCGTGGTGGGTGCGCATCTGGAAGAAGACGTACACGAGATAGGCGATGATGAGCAAGACGGCGGTGCTACGCGAAATTTCGAGGGTTTTGCGCCTGAGTTCTTCCGTGTCGTAGCGGCCATAAAGGGCGTTGAAGAAGGCTGTAGGAACGGCTAGTCCGAATCCACTGTAGAAGAAGAACCGGTGAGCACTTCATCCTTTCTTCACGCGGGGATAATGGGATAGATGTGAGAACTTACGCAGTCAACAACAACCCGCTACCGGCTTCACTAACGATCTCGCTGAAGTGCGTCTCCTCGCGCTTGAAACCAGCGGCAATGAAGCAGAAGCCTAGACAGAGCAGCATCGTAGCAAGGATGGAACCTAGGATCGCAGCTCTGATGACCTGGGTATTATCCACCGAAGATTCAGGGTCGTACTGTTTTACCAGGACTATAAACATGATAATCTCGACGAGTGAACCAAAACTAGTGACCATAGTCTGTTAGAAACATGACCCATCTTTTTCCCAGCGGAAGGGCAAAGGAGATACTCACGTTGTCTCTGCCAACACACCAAGCACGTGCGGAACCTTCTTCGCCAAATTCTGTCCCGCAAATCCGACCAAGTTCGCACAAGGTACCATGGCGATGTATGCTAGAATGAAAATTGCCAGGTCCTGGTGAGGAGCGGCATACCGTACGGCAATGGCGGCGGGTACCACGGGCCATAGCACGTTAACGAGGCGAGATGCCAGCGAGGACGAGCGGAACACGATGCGCAAGAAGTGCCACGGGTGGATGCCGGACCGGCCACTCTCGCCTTCTTCGCGGATCGGGAACCATGATTTTGGGGCCGGTGGGTGGTGGTGATGGTGGTGATGGGCCTGAACTTCTGTTGCGATGGGAAGGACGTTTCCAGCGCTGGCGTTTCTCTCATCTGAATCACGTTCAGCAGCGCGCTTTTCTCGCGCCGCTGTGTGGTAGGGAGTCACCATGGTGTGTTTTTGTGGGTGTATATGCGTCGTACACAGCTGAAATGTGTCGTGGGTGCTTTATGGGCGGAAGTTTGTAGATAGGTAGGTGGCTTCCCGGCAGCGCGCCTCCTGTGTCAGAGTTATCTGTTTGCGGTTGCTCGTTCCAAAGAGCGGTATCCCACCCCGAAATACTGTGTCGTTTGCTCAAGATCGACGAGATGATGTATTCCAGCAGGAACGACTTATAAGAAAGGACCAGGTGGGGAAGAGAAAAAAGAGCTCAGTCCGCAAGCCACTAGGTGAAGGCGGTCAGGACTGGATTAGGTAGGCGTCACGACCTGACCAATGTTCAGGTGGAGCAGTATGTAAGACAGAAAAAACAACGAGTATGTACGAGGATAGAAAGGGCCTCTATAATAGGAAGATGTCCGAGGAAAATAAACACAGCAGAAGGTTTGTAATAAAAGAAGAAGGAGAAGAGGATTAGCAAAACGTGATATTTCTGAGCATCCGCATCGGTCTCACTCATCAATCGCAGGGCTCATCAAGGATGGCTGACAACCGACTGGACAAGGGTACGCTCACAACCTGACGGGATGGAGAGGAAGGGAAAGATGAGGGAGAGCTGAACTCAACCACTCATTCTTCACCAATTGCCCATGGTCGCTGTCAGAAAGAAGGATTTATCGTGGGTCTAGACTCGAGGTGTCGATGCAGGAAGGGGCCACCCTCACTTTCTCACAAACCCGGGGACCCCTAGCCAAGCGCCAAGAAGCCATTTGTGCAGAAACAACTGGCTTGGCCTTGGCGATCTTGGCTCCTCCAACGTCGAGTTTCAGGCCTGACGGGGGTTCAACTGGGGTTTTTGGTGGTGAACGGAGTTCGGACTGGAGGGTCCTGAGGGCTGGGAAATCCAGTGGTAACTGAGGATCCGAACGAGTGCATTCCCATTCGCCCAGCCTTCCATCGCTAGCTTCGATGTGGCTTCGACTTTCGAGCCGGGCGGCCGCCAACAATGGAGTCTAACGAGTGTGACATCTTTTGGTATCTGCAGATTGTTTCTTCTTGATGTCATTCGGCACATCGAGAGACAGATCCGAGTGCCGAAAAAGCTTGAAGATGCTTCTGTGTGACCGTAACCGGTAGTCTGTACAAGACATGGCAGGAGATAGGCATTATCGCAGGATCGGAGGCAAGCTGGTACGTGTTGTACTTTGTTTTGTTGCTGTTGTTGCCTACGAAGTAAGGTGGCACAGATCGAAACTCCAGAAAAGTAAATAATCTCCGCTAAATGAACATCCTGGCGGATCTCTCTCCGAAAGCGCCCCAGCCCCGGCTTTTGTTACTGTAAGACGAAGTTAACCGCTGCACAGCCCGCCGCGTGGGACCTGGGGGTAAGATGCGAGATTATGGTGTAGTTTAAAGGTCTCCAAAATAAACCCGGGCCGTGGCAGTCGCTGAGTAAACGCCATCCAGAAAAAGAAGCCACGGCAGCAAAGATGGAACAAAGATAAGATTTTGGCAAGAAACGTTGAAGCAGTCATCATGTGCCAAGGCGGATCTTATCACTTTGCCCAATGCCAATGGCGGGTGGCTTTTTCTTGCTGCACAAAACTTGTCAGCCCAAGGTTCTTTGGAAAAGCTTGTTCTCTTGTTTTGGTGGAACGTCACGTTTGGCGTAGATTTGTTCTACATATGAAGGCATGCCCTTGCTTCATGGCGATAGCCTCATTTCGGGACCGAACACCACGTGCATGAGCTTGGAGAAATGATTTGCTTGAGGAAAAATAAGCATAAGAATAGTGAGTATGGGGAAAATGAACAAAATTATGGGGTAAGCCGGGATCCGTAAACTCGAAGCAGGAAACCCTAACAAGACGACCCCTACAAATTCGCATCACATCGTCAGTCATGAACCATAATACTCCTCCTCCTCACCATCACCCTGCTCATCGTTAACCTGAATCTCAATCTCCTCGCCCGCAAGCCCAATAATTTTTACCGTCTTCCTATTTCGCGGCGGCACCGGTTTCGCCAAAACCACCGTTTCCACACCAGCCGGGCTCGCCTCCTCCGGTCCCATCGGCAAGCTCTCAACATCAATCTCCTCATCCAAGAGACTCTTAAGAATCACTTCCGCGCCTGCCTTGCTGATGACCGAATTAGCCTCCTTGCAGAGTTCCGAGCACACGCACTCAATGCAGCCATCGCGGCATTGACACGCCAACACCCGACCGAGCGCCTTCCTCAGCAACACGTCGATGAACTCAAACGCCTTGGTGTTGATGCCCGACCCACTCGCGCCCCCCTTTGCGTCGTAGAAAGTCAACCGAGCCGGCCGCTTCCGCTGCGTCTCCCGCCTGGCAAATTCCTTGAGATGGTTCTTGCACTCGGTGCGCACGTCGCCCGGTATGCTCATGACGAAGTTGGGCATGAGGCTCATGATGGCGTGCTGGGCGGCGTGGATGGCGCCGCCGACGTGGAGGCGCCGTGACACGAGGATCTCGAGCGCGAGGCGGGGCACGTCGAGCCAGGTGCCCTTGCTGTAGCGGATGACGGGCGGGTTGTCGACCTGGATGGCGTCGAGAATCCGGTTCTTCTTGTCGACTTTAAAGTAGCCGAAGACGACTTGGGTGATTTTGATGGCGCCGTGGTAGGCGAGCGATTTCGACCCGCTGATGCGCCGAATAGCTTCGGTCTCTACCGGGTCGATGTCCGTGTAGTCCCGCTGCTCGGTGGTCCAGTCCACCTTGACTTTCTCGACTCGCGCCATCTTTTTGTCGGGGTTGAAGTCCCGAACGAGGTAGGTGTTGCCCTGGTGTAGGAATATGGCTCCGTCGTAAATGGTGAAGGTCGCTCGGGATGCCTCCAATTCCTCTAACACAATGTTCCGGTTGTTTGTAGTGTCGATGATAGCAAAATGGTCTTCCTCGGTGTCGCGTATTGATACAAACTGCGAAGGCCGGGGTCGAAACCTGTCATGGCAATGGTAAAAGTCCCGGTCACCCTTGAGGAGCCGCTTCTCGCAGACCGTTGCCAGATCTTCGCCAAAGTATTTGGAGTCCTTAGCCGGGAGAATTGGCATTTCGTATGCCGCACATTGGATGTGTCCTTCCTTGACCAACATATTCTCCAAGTCCACTTGAAGCTCGCAATTTGGCTTTGTGAAGAGTTCGTCCGGATTCTGCATGTAATACTGGTCCGTTGCAAAACTGTCCCCAACCAAAATTGACAGAGAGTCTCTGTTCCGCCGGCCAGCTCTCCCACTCTGCTGTCTGAGGTTCGCTATTGTGTACGGGAACCCCCAAGTCATAACGCAGTCCAAAGTGCCGATGTCAACACCAAGCTCGAGAGCAGTGGTTGCCACGATGCCCATGAGCTTGCCCTCGAACATTTCAGTTTCGATTTGCCGTCTGTCTTGGGCAGTGTAACCGCCGCGGTAGCCCATTACACGATTGATGCATTCAGAGCGACCTCTTTGTTCCAGTTCCTGTTTGATGGCATTGACCAGTTTCTCACAGTGTTCGCGAACGCGACAGAAGGCGATGACACGGACGCCGCGGAGGATGAGTTCGCAGAACAGACGAGAACACTCAAACTTGGCATTGCCGCGGCCGCTGGACGGATCTCCTGGGTCTTTATACGGAGTGTTCCAGCAGAGGAACTCCTTGCGACCAGATGGAGAGCCGTCAAAGTCGATGAGCTTGACATCTTCAACGCCGAATATGGTAGTAAAGTGCTCCTTCGGGTTGGCTACCGTTGCTGAACACGAGATGAACTGAACATGCGTATTTCCGACTGCTGCGCATATTCTACGCAGTCGTCTCATGATGAAAGCGACATGCGATCCCATTAAGCCGTTGTAATAGTGCAGTTCGTCCACTATCAACGGGAAGAAGAGTTAATTAGAGATCGCACTCCGCAGCCGTCCGAGAAGTTAACTTGATGGAGGTCTAACTCACCGACAACAAACTTAAGGTTTTGCAAAAACGTCCTCCATCTTTCCTCTTGAGGTAAAATCGTGATGTGGAGCATATCGGGATTTGTGAATATGATGCGTGCATCATCGCGGATTACATTCCTGTCATGCATTGGCGTATCGCCATCAAAGGTTTCAACGAGCAGCTCTTCCAGTCCAGGCATGAATTTCATCACTTCCTTCAGGCTTCGCTTCTGGTCTTGCGCCAGCGCCTTGGTCGGAAAGATGTACATGGCTCGCGTATTCCGGTCCTGCTCAAGGGCATGTATAACAGGCAATTGGTAGATGAGAGACTTTCCGGAGCTGGTGGAGGTGGACACCACCACATGGTGTCCATCGTGTAAAGCGTTGATAGCATCAGCTTGATGAGCATAAAACTGCGTAATCCCCTTGGTATTGTAGAGCGCGTTAACCAAATCTTGGCTGAGGAGAAAGTTCAGATAGCCGTAAACAGGCTCCTGTTCCTCGAACACTCGATGGCCATCGGGAACTATTTGACCAGTGTACCATGGGCTATCCTTCAGCTCTTGCACGATTTGCGGTATGCTTTTCCTCTCCTTCGGGATACTCGCGGGCAAGGTGCTAGATTTCGGCTGAGGAGTGGGCTCTCTTGGTGCTGAAGGCCGCGGAACGAATGATTCGGACTCGCTTCTGAGTGCCATTTCCGGATCTAGACTTTCTGCAGCACAGCGGTTCAAGAAGATGTTGACTGCATTGGCGAACTTGGTGTTCCTCTTTTCTATTAGTGCCGTCATTTGCTTCTGACTATACACGGGCATTTTGACATCCTCATGTCGAAGCCTGCGAGTTGGCTTAGTCGGGTCTCGTGTTTTCTTGTCCTGGACCTGTCTCTTGAGATCTTCGTCGATGAACTCAAAGTAAAGAACCTCCCGTCCAGATCTCAGCTCCTCGTCATCTTCTTTAGTTCGGTTTGTGTCAGTATCACCTAGCCCTTCCAGACCAGTCATACCGCCAACGGACGCATCGGGCGCAAAGGACCGAGACGACTTCCCAGTATAGCTTCCCGTCTTGAAGGTATCGTCCTTTTCGGCACCCCTTGCATCAAGCTGTAGCATCAGCTCGTCGACGTAGGCAAAGTGAATGCCTTCCGGGCGTAAAGCCACGATTGCAGCTACATCCTCAATCGTCAACGACCGGTTTGTATGAGACTCAACCGTCGATCGTATCGTCTCGAACGTGGTCGCCAAATGCTTCCGCGTAGAGCAGAACGTGTAGACGAGGTTCAAAGCCCTTTGTGTCTTCTCGAGTTCCTTGAACCAGAAAGGCCATTCAATGTCGCTTTCGACAACGGTAGTCTCGGCGACAAGCTTGGGAGGACGACCTCTTCGCTTCTTTGGCCCTGTTGCTGCTTGACCAGTACCACAACTGCCGGAACTCTCCTGGGAATCGTTGCTGGGGTTTCCAACAAAAGAGACATCGTCCCCTGGCTCTATCGACGCTTCTGGTTCGGTGGACGCGCGTTTACGCTTGAGCCTTCTCAGTGGATCTGTAGTTGTAGCGTCGGCGCTATGGTGGCTGGATGTCATGATTTTTGTAGTTGAGTGGCAGGGGGGCTTTTAATGCGTTCCACCTCTGTTCAGACCATTCGGTGCCGTAGCCTGTTCGGGTACATCAAGCGGATGTGCCGATTATTATCGGGCCTTGGGGGTTGGAGGTATGTTCCTGTGGAAAGAGCATGCGAAGACGAGGAAAGAGCAGTCATGTTTGTGAGGGAAGTCGCGTTGTGGCAACTCTGCTTGCCATTGAAGATCATTGTTTGTCCTCGATTGACGGCGCGAAAGAAGCGGGACAGTACGTGCCCCTGCCTCTCTGGGTCACAAAACCGCCCGAAAGCTACCTTTACGTAGAAAGTTCATTCTAGGGTTAGGGTTCAGGCCTGGTATGTTGCTCCTTTCATCCCCTCGCAGGCCAAGCGTTGTGTTCCACACTCAACCCACTTCTTCAAAGCGACCAAGGGTGCGTTCGTGTGTTCCGGAAATGGCCTTCTGAAGTTTTTAGAAGATGAATTTCAGAAACCTGTTCGAATATTCAGAAAACTATTTTGCTGGGAAATCTTCAGAAGATCAATTTCAGAATCGCGTTCGAGTGTTCTGAATAGGTTCATTTCTGAAATTCAGTTTCATGAATTGGTCTACTCCACAAATACCTCAACCCTCCAATCACGAAGCACCATTCCACTCAAGAATTTCATGAACCATTTCAGCATCCAAGAGCTGCTGAAATCCGATTCTGAAATCATTTCCTAGCCCAGATTCCAGGACAGCCTGTGCAGCACTACTGAAAGTTTCATTTCAGAAAAGCCATTTCCGGAACACACGAACACATCCCAAGATGAAATCATGAAAGAGATGATTGTGAATCCGCCATGCCCTCCATAATGTTCATCAGGGCGAGCATGCCTCTTTGCACTCGTTGTTCCTCCTAAACTGGAACATCTCATTGGTCGATCCGGGCAAACCCGCAGAGCAACATCTTCCCGAACAACCGTCTCTCGCGTCTGTGCGGCCTGTGCCGACCTCGACTTTACACCGACTCCGGCTTGTCGGATCGAAAGCTAGAAACGGAAGTCGTGAGCCGGCAGCGAGCCATGCAGGAGCGGGCAAGCCGCACCTAACACCAATGGTCGATTGCAACATTGACCGGGATGGGGCCCGGAGAGAGTTCTTCTCGTCCCGCCCCGTCTTCGAGAACTTTTCTCTTTTCGGACCTCCCCCGCCACTGGACGTTACTCTGGTAGACAGCAACTTCGTGGTCAACGCTGTTTTGTGATAAACGCAGCCGAGCAGCTCCGGGGGCACAACTCCATCATGCAATGTTCGCGGCATCTTTGCTGCTGTGCCTGCTTCGCCTGCTCACCTATTAGCCTAGCGACCCTATTTGGGTATACTATGCTACACAGACCCGAGGGAAATGGAGCTCTGTCTGTAAAATGGCGTCGAACCGACCCGGATTCTCGCCTCAAGACCTCAAGAGAGAAAGGGCCCTGTGGAAATGGTCCGGTCTGTCCCTCACACCCATGTTTTTTCTTGGTCTGCTACCACCTAAACCCCCTGATCTCGCAGCTGTAGATGGAGACGGCAAATAGCCTACTGCAAGCTATCCCTTACTGGACTAACCTTTTCTTCGGGTGAATTAATCATGCGCATCATGTTGTTACACACGAGACGTACACGCCATCACAAGCCTGCTGAGTCTTGAGTGTATATAACCTCTCGGTGTCCCGCCGTCACTTGAGGTTCGACCATGCTGATAAGTGGCAAGTGAAATTTCAACTTCAGTTCTTCCATATCCAACTCGCCAAGAGCTTCAAAGTCCTCCCCAGTCTCTTCTCTTCACCATGTTGTTCTCCATGCTCCTGGCCGGCGCCTCCTTGGCTGCCTCTGCTGCTGCTGCTGCTAAGCCCACCAAGAAGCCCTTTGACTTTCTTGTGACCTTTGGCGACAGCTATACGGACAACGGCCGTTTGGGATACTATATGGGCAACGGCGGCAACCCTCCCCCGCCCGGCCAGCTTCACGGCGAGAGCGACGTGACCGCCAGCGGTGGTCTGACCTGGAACCAGTATGCCAGCCGTCAAGTCGGGGCCAAGCTTGTCGACTACGCCGTCAGCGGCGCAACCTGCTCCAACCAGGTCATCTCGCGGTACTTCAGCGCCATCAACAAGGACTTCCCAGCTGTCTTGGATGACGAGATCCCTTCCTTCGTCGCCGATACTGCGTACAGGTCCATCTTCCCCAACAGGACCGCCGACAACACCGTCTACGCCCTTTGGATCGGAACCAACGATCTCGGTGGCGATGCCTTCTTGACCGAGAACCAACACCCCGGCAAGACCCTTACTGACTTCTCCGAGTGCATCTGGACTGTTTTCGACACCATCTACAAGTCCGGTGGCCGTCGTTTCGTCCTGCTGAACTTGGCGCCTTTGCACCTGGCGCCTCTCTATGCCACCCTTGAGAACGGTGGCTTCTCGGGAGCCAGCCAGTTCTGGGCCGGCAAGTCGCAGTACAACGTCACGGAGAGGAGCGAGAAGATCAAGGAGTACAGCACCACCCTCAACACCGTCTTCAGCTATGGCGCTGCCGTCAACACCAGGCTCAAGTCGCGTTGGCCCAAGGCTACCTTTGATCTCTTTGACGTCCACAGCCTCTTGACTGACGTCCACGAGAACCCTGCCGCGTACCTGGACGCTCCTCACAACAGCACCGGATACTTCCACCACTGCTCGGCTTCCGGTGGCGACTGCGTTGACCAGACCAGCCTTGGCCCGTTGAGCGGTTTCATGTGGTATGACGAGTTGCACCCTTCCACCAAGACCGGTATGTTTGTCCCTTTTTTCATGAGTTTCTCTTCTTAGCTTGCCATCACCATGTTATGTACTGTACTGTGGTGTTGGGTCCAAACATGTGAATGTCGCTGACAAGGCTATGCCAGATTCCGTCATTGCTAAGCACTTCCTCGATGTTGTTGCTGGGCAGTCCAAGTATGGCACTCGTTACTACGACTAAGCCGGCAAAGACGAAGGCTGGAAGATGGGGGTTAAAGAGAGAGGAATAGAATATAACATAAATAATTGTGAATTTCCCTTTTTAGTCCAATGATTGAGCTTCAAACTTTGTGGTGCCTGCAAATTGCAAGGTGGTGTCGTGCAAGTGGAATGTGATTGATGATCGCTGCCTGCATCCTATCATCACCATGAAAATACTGGCAGAGCGGGCTTTTGTCCGCACATCTGTGCATCCACAGACGAGCGAATGGCATGGCTTCGCGCATGTTTGGCTTGCATTTTGCTTGACCTCCACAGAAGTTTGGATCCCGGTCGCTTCCGGTCAATCCACCCCGCTTCGAAATGGCGCTTCTCCCTATTGGGCTAGCGTCTCGGTGGTCACAGTCACGCAGAGCCAGCAGGAACCCACTCACACCCGCTTTTCGTCGTTGCAATTTGCATTCGGCCACATTGGCCCTCGTGGCATTTTTGCACGACGTCCCGTGCCTCCGCGCAGAGTCGCAGAAGTCGCTTCTCTGCCAAATCCTCGCTCGCTTTTTCGCTCTTCCCAACGCTGCCCTACCGGTGCCTGTTGAGCCTGTCTACCGCACCTGCGCACGCCAAACTCCCCTCGTTCAACTTGCCAGCAGTTACATGTAGCAACAATCGCCGTCCGTCAATACATCATTACATCCGCATTACATACGGAAACCTTGCTTCTACGCACAATTTCTGTTCCTCGGCCCGGTCCCGTCCTGTATATCCATCACGTCAGCCAGGCAGGGCATCTCGTCTCATCTCGTCTCGTCTCAATCTCTTCATTGGCATCCTGTCAGGTACCTACTTCGGTTTCTTTCTGTCTGCACCCCTCCCTTCAGCTACAGACATTCCAGGCTGTGGCCCTCACTTCGGTTCGGGGTTTCGGCTGGTCCCCCCTTCAGACCCAGCTTTCCAGGGCTGCCCTTCATCTCATCCCATCACTCTTCACGGGAACCCCCTCATCTGCTCCTAGGTAGGGCTGGGCTGGGGGGGTTGAGAGACAGACCCTGCGTCAACCTTGCCTTATCTACTTTACACTTTCGGTCCCATTATCGGCATCCCCCCTGCTGCTGTTGGGGAGGTTGTACCCATCTCCATTCGATCGTGACCAACTGACTGGACACTCACGCACAGTCTCGTCACTTGTCTGTCTGCACTCCCAGTCCCCGGTAATTTTACCCCGTACTGCATCCCGTCGTGGTGTGCCTCGTTGCCGGGTGCCACCTGGCTGGACCCCAGATCCATCAAAGACGACTGTCCAGACGCTGGATAGTCTGAATCTCTACCTACACCCCCCTTCGTCGTACCTTACAGAACCCGTACGTACAGGTACCCTACTTGTACATCCTAGCCTCGTCCCTAACCTTCTATCAAAGGACAGCGTACCTTGGGCGTCAAGTCAGGTACATCCGTATATCTGCAGCAAGACATAATATCCGAGGTGGCCCTCCCTCACTCTTACACGTCCATCATACCGTATCAAGTACGCCCCGTACATCGTTCCGTCTCGTACAGGAATAACAGGGAAAGAAGTGACGTACGGTGGTAGAGAAGAGAGTTTTGTGTGGTGTGTGGTGGTTAGTCCTGCTATAAGGCGAACCGGAAACAGGAACCACCAACATCGGCCACCATCGGGTCTCATCCCATGTTGAGATTGGCTTGAAGCAACCCGACACATCCCTGGTGGCTTCAAACATACGCCCGGTTCCATCCCATCCTCAAACGTGCCTGGGCAAGTAGGTGCCTCCCATCTAAAGCGCTGCCCCTGTGGCTAGAGATACCTACACTCCTACAGTATCTGGCTTTACAGGTTTGACGGCAAAAAAGACTAGGACAAGACGACCTGGAAACTTTCATCGGTATCAGTGTGACCCCAGTCACAGAAGAACCGACTGCCGAACGCCTGGAACAGCGCCGTCGAACAGAGTCTGTGGGCGCTAACAAACCACGAACAGGGAACAAACAGGCTCCTCGTTGGTTGGCTGCTGCGTTAGGCTGGATTCAATTTGTCAATTGATGGCCTTGCCCCTTCCCCACATCTACATTGGCAGCCGCAAGACCTCCCTGATCGAGGTGATCCACGCCCACCTCACCACGCACGACGTTTCTGTTCCGTCCATCGCGTCGTCCCCCCATCCGCTCCCTTGGCGCTCCAGTTGATCCGTCAACGATAAACCATTAAGCCATGTACCAACCCCAATACGGCTACAACCCCAATCCCGCCGCTGGTGCGGGAGCTGGTAATTCAGCCTTCAACGGCGCCCCACCTCCACAGAACCCTCAGAACTCTCAGGTCCCCCAGGTCCCTCAAGTTCCTCAGCAGGCGTCTCACTTGCAGCCGAGTCCCAGCCGTGGGCCGTCCCCGAGCCAGCAGCAGCAACGGCAGCAGCAGCAACGGCAGCAGCAGCAACAGCATCATCAGCAGATGATGTATAAGAGCCAGCAGCAGCAGCAGCAGCCCGGGCAGCAACATCATCCAGGCCAGCAGCAAACGCAGCAACAGCAACAGCAACAGCCAACCAGCAACAGCAACAGCAACAGAGCAGTTCCACATGGGCTCCCAAGCCGGCGGCAGTCACTTCCCAGCTGCTGCTGCTCCAAGCCCAGGAATGATGGGAACAGGTGCTGGTCCTGCAGGAATGATGCAGAATGCCGCCATGCCGCACACCACGGCTGCCACCAATGGTCAGAGTAAGCTTTAACCTTTCCCTCGCGCGCCTTGTTTATCTTTCCACCCACCCCCTTGGGCCCGGCTTCCTGGACCTCATGTCTATGTATCATTGTCCCACTCCCCTCCTCCTTTGGGCTTTCCGCAGCTACTGTTAGACTTTGTTTCCCCGGTCTTGTTTCTCACTGTATTTAATTGTACCTCTTCTTTGTTTCACGTCCCCGCGAGTTTTTGCGTCTTACCGCCCACCCGGTGTCTTACGGGTCCTGCCGCGCTTCATCCCGTCTGTCAAGTTCGTCCTGCGTCTTCCATGCCATTCTCCGATTCGTCCCCCTTTGGACCCCTTCCCCATCGACCTGATGATCAATCGAGTACCTGCCTCGAGTACCTACCTCTACCTACCTAGCCACATAGCTGCTTGTATACCTTGGGCGTGAAAAGGCTGACCGAGTCTCCGGATCAACAGTGTCATTCCAGGCGCCTTACACAAGCGCGCCCTATGTGGCAGCCGTGCCATCACCCGCGGCACCTCAGCCGCAACTGCCAGCTAACTATATGATGTCTGCTTCTATGCCCCATTATCCAATGAATGCTGCCATGTCCCAGCAGCAGCCAATGATGCAGCGTATACACCCTTCCCAGCAGAATGCTGCCAACATGTCCGCATCAACACCTCAGCGCTCCTTCAACCCTGCCTCTCAGGGCACCCCAAACAATGCGATGCCGTCCCAGCAACCAGGTACTTATTCTACTGCCCAGGGTCAAGGAGGCTCTGCGAATCAGACACCAACCACCACCCAGCCTCAAAGTGGCTCGGCCGTAGTCACACCCCAAACACCTACGTTCCCTTCCACTGGAGGACAAGGTCAGGCTAACGGGACGCCGATGCACTCGGCCCCCCAAAGTCCAACTACAAGGTCGCGAGAACAGGAAAGGTTCGCCGTACTATTGGAAATCAACCATGAGCTCCTGTACGAACTAGCGTGTCTCCACATTAGTCGGCAAGAGATAAAGAGAGAAAAGGAGGCGGCTGGTGAGTCGGGTGAACAACAGCAAAATGGTGGTATGAGCCTTCACGAAGAAGAGAAATTGACGGAGCAGGATTATCAACAGTGAGTGGCAATCACAACGGGAGGATCGGGTATCTCGAACTGAACGACTAATCTCGAGTTATAGATGCATGGTCAGAGTCAGAACCAACATGGGTTTCATGGCCCCGCTATCGCAGCCGGGCAAACAACCCAATATGCACCCGTATCCAGCATATCTGACACCCCCACCCCTACACCTGAACCTCAGGGTAAGAGTAGCACAGAACACGTCCGCTGAGGACAGCGCGAGCGACGCGCCACCTGACCCTAACACTGATCGCGCGGAAAGGCATAAGATCATGACGGATCTTTACAAGAAGCTCCAGTCACTTTACCCAGCCCTTGATTATAAAAATGAGCCTATCTGGAGGTCGGCCCCGAACGCTTCAGCAGGATCATCGGGTCTTCCTGGATCTGGACCAATGCCAGGAGGTACTCCTGATCAGATGTCACAGCAAGCAGGACAGCAGCAGCAAAGCCAGCAAAGCCAGCAACAGCAAGGGCAGCAGCAAAATCCACAGCAGCAACATGGTCAACAGCAACAACAGCCCGGGCAGCAACTAAGTCATCAACAGATGATGATGCTGAAGCAGCAACAATACCGCGAACAAATGCATCAAAAGCAGCTACAAATTCAGCAGCAAATCCAGCAGCAGCAGAATGGCCAGCTCGGTGGTGGTGGTGTAAGGTCAAACCACGGAAGTCCGGCTCCAAGCGGACAGATGCTACAACAGGGCATGAAGACGCCGCAGATGACGCCGCAGATGTCCAACGCAGTCCCTCCTGGCATGGTGACACAGCATCAGCAGCAACAGCAGCAGCCTCAAAGTCAGCAGCAGCCTCAACAGCAGCAAAACCAACGATATGCGCAGTCGCAGTCCAATGCATCGGGACCTCCATGAACTTCCCTAGAAGTCATGAAAAGCTGAAGGGGAAGAAGATGAGACACGTCATATCGAGCTTGTATAACAACGGGCTTCAAGGAGTTATGGGTGGTTGCAAGGCTGAAAGTTTGGGTATGTACTAGAAGAAAGAAGAGAACAAAAAGGAAAAGATGGGATGTTTGGATTTTTACGTCTCGGGATAGCCGGAATAGAATAAGGCGTGGAGTTTGACACACGTTCTTGGGGTTTGGGCATCATCTTGGTTCATACTATATACGTGCTTTGTCTCTGACGGGCGGAAAACAGGCCGCCTTTCGTTCTTCCTGAGGTGCTTCGAGGAAAAACAGAGAGTGCGCTGTTGTCATTCTCTTTTGTTTCTTCTTACTTTCGCTGTTCGTTTCTGTTGTTCACCACGGCGAGGATTTTTGGTTTCTCGGCACCTCATTACACCATAGCGGAATAGACGGTGGGCTTTTGCATTGTTTCATGAAAGAAAACAGTAGACCATAGGATCTACGGGTAAGACACGATTCATCAACAACTTATCCGCATAACCATGGCCACAGATCCACCCACATATTGGTTCACATCACGATCAACTTCGGTGATTCCATATCAGTATATAGCCAAGGATATACACACACGAACGAACTGGTTGCTCCCGACGCACCCGGCCTCGATACTCACCAATCTCCGCTGGGCTGATGGACATTGGTATTTCATCTCAATTCCCACCAACCATTGAAGGTGAGACCTCGACCCTCCGTTTATATTGCGGAGTGACGCACATGGCTTGACGTATCTCGATCACGTTATAGGATATCTGAACTTCACAAAGCTTCCGTGAGTTTCCGCTCGACACTCATCCACTATCTACTGACAGACCCGATGAGAGGAGTAGGTCGCTTGTGTTCTTACGGACCGTGACCACGAGCCCGGGGATGCTTCACCCCGAGGCTCTTCCCTCCGTCTGCTAAGTCGTGAAACATGCGGTCTACATAGTGTCGTGGTGTGGAATACGTATGCTTTAATCCTTCTCATCAACCAAAGGGTTACGTCGCAGCAATCTTGGTTTATGCGTTGGGGAAACGCCAAGAAAAAAAAAGGTTTTGCAGATTGCAACCATCACCACCGATTGAGGCAGGAGGTCACAACTGTCAAAACGAAGTGGAATGAAGTTCCTGCAGCAGTGCTGGCGCAGTTGCAGTTCGCAATTGCAGCGCTTGTTCTGCGGGCTGCGGGCTGGCAGGCACAGGATGCAATTTGAACCTGCAGTGGTGTTGTAGGCTGTGGGGATTTATTGGCCGAAGCTTCAATTTCTCGTCCAATCAATCAGCCCTACTTTCACGATTGCACAGACTTGCATAGTAAACTGGATTATGATTGGTTGGAAATTTGCGGGTTTTGGACCGGTGTTTTCATGCCGGTCGGTGGTAATGCGTGTGAAAAGGGGGTTGGTGACAGCTTCGACTGCCTACCATAGGAGGAGGTGACAACAGTGAAAACTATGAAGATTGACGAGAAGACAAAAGTAGCAAAGTCAAAGAAAGAGACAAGTTGGATTGTTTGATAAACTCAATGGCGACGGCACCGGCACAAAGAACACTATAGGCGATTTGGGACGATGATAGCATTGTCGTGGGATAATTAACAAAGTGATTTGTGGAGGTATGCGGTGAAGGAAGCAGCCATCCAGAGTGAAGCCAGGCACGCCAGGGGCCGGGGACGATGGCACGGGACGGTGGGTGGGTGGGACCAGGGGTGAGACCCCGCCGGCCCGTCGCCCAGGCATTGACAACCCGTGAGCCCGTCCTCCATGATCGGACAAGACCGGCCGATCTTTCTTCTCTAGTCGGCCGCTTCCAAAAATGTAAACAACACCACACGGGTCAACGGGCTACGTAGGTGGGATCAGTGACAATTAGGACAATCGGCGGTCTTCTTTCCGTGGATATCCGTGGGGTTGGTTGGTTGGTGGTGGTGGTTGTCCCGGTGCCGTGATGAGACGAATCTGCGATTAATCATTCATTCCGTCAGGTTCAGCCTGTGTCTCGGTGGATGCCCTGTAATTCTGCGAGAATTGGATGGAATCAGGGGTGGTTCCAACTTTGGCCCATTCACATTGCACACTGTCTGGTGGTTGAACCCCTGAATCTGACATTGTGTGTTTCTCCTTGGTGACTCTTGCCGCCAATTGTCCTCCTCCTTCAAGTTCTTGGGAAACTGCAAGTGCGCGTTTCTCGACAACAAAGTGGAAGTCGCCATTACCTCTTTCATTAGGTTCTGCAAGATCCGGCGCTTTGAGAAAGGAATCAGCTACGCTTGGAGGCGGGTCGAGTCGCGCGGTTTCAGCATTCATAGTTCTTGGCCGCTCGATGAAACAATAACAGCGAAGCACCAGCCAGTCGCGCGCCAAGAGCTAGCCCATTTGCACCCATTCGCCCCGGGGCGGTTCTGGCTTTCTGAGAAGGCAGGCTAACGAGACAAGGACATCCACACCAAAACAAAGTCCACTTTCCTTCCTGTCGTTGGCGAGACGCCCATCCCTGTCTGCCTCTTTCCCTTGTTGAGCCGTCGATTCGGAATCATCTGGGCAGAAGCTTCCACTTTCTCTTTTTGCCTTCTTGTCAGTTGGGAAGTGGAAAGCGGCTGCGAAAGAAAAATTTGAACACTTGTTGTTGTCCTACAGTTTGAAAGGAGAGTGAAAGAAACCTGAACAAGAAGACCAAGCAACAGCAAGTAGGTACCGTCTACATACAATACCTTGACTTGAAAGCTGGGAACCCCCCTTCACCGACTTGATAACCCGAACGGACGAACTGAACCGAACCATCACGGTACACAGCCAGGATTTTGATTTTACTCTTTTGGAGTGGCAGCGGGACTCGGAACCCGCTTGCAGAGACGAAGACAGACGAAAGAACACGCCAATTTTGTTCCACAACAATAAACGAGCAACCCGGAATTTTCACAACAGGAGTTAATCCAAACCAAAAAGACCTACCGATTTACATACCACACCTTATCTTGTTGTCGAGGCCTATTTTAGCACCTTTTTTTTTTTTTTAACTTGCTGTGGTCGACGCTGCGCGCTTGCACGACCTGCCTGTCGACCGCGTTGTGCCACCCTCCGGCCTTCTCGAGTTTCACCGCCCCTCGATCTCGAACCCAAATTTACACCAAAAACGGCCACCACAAAACCACATCCAACCCGATTTAGGCCTCGGGATGGAGCTCGATCGCAAAGCACGGGACAGCAGGCACGACAGCAAATATGATGATCAAGAAGAAACGTCAACAAAGTCGCCGCTCCCGTCGCCAAGTCCCACAAGTCCCACCGGGACGACCAATTCCTCTCCGATCGAGCTAGAATTTGACCACAAGGGGACCATGGAACACGACTCCCTCGTGTCCGTCTGCCTCTCCGAACCTTCGAGGTCTTCACTCCAAATCGACACGACCGTTTCCCCACCACGGAAGAACGTCTGGGGTCTCGAAGACTCCCCCTGCGCTTCGCCAACCGACGATGCGGATACAGAAACAATCAAGGAAGAAAGGAACGATGAGGATCGCAGTGACGAATTAAAGACGCCGGCGTCGACGCACAGCCCAAGCTTGCTGGAAGAGCTTGAGAGTGTGCAAGACGAGGACGACGAGGAAGCGGAGGATGACAACAATGATGCACGCAGTGAGGGCTCAAGCGCTGAATCCGAGGATGTGAATTGGGACGATCTGCAAAAGAAAGAGGACGAACAGGTCAAAGAGCAAGATGCAGAGAATGTAAGTTGCATTGCATGCAGCTATGGCTGACGTCCCAATCCCGTTCCTGAAATAGTGCGACATCAGCCTATTTTTGGTGGCTTACCCGCGCTGACACTCCCACTTTCACAGACACAGTCGACTGCGATGCTGCTAGCGAAACTCGAGCAGGAAAATAATAAGATCGCGACAAATCCCAAGAGTGTCAAGGTTGCGGCCGTAGAAAAGGTAGCTTCGCCAGGCCGCAAACCGAGACCACCATCCATGGCCCAGCTACGACAGATGGTCAATGGACCGACCCCTCCTACTCTCAGATACTCGGTCCTGCCACCGCCACCTATGACCGAGCTCGAGTTCTACATGGCCCTGGTCAAAGATCCTAAGCAGACGGCAGCCAGGCTTCCCACTCTGCTCTCCAACAAGATCAGAAAGGGTATCCCCCCGCCGCTGCGCGGTGTCGTGTGGCAGAGCATGTGCGGTGCTCGTGACAAGGACCTCGAGGACGTGTTCGAACGGTTATCTGGCGAGTCAAGCCCATATGAGGGCATCATTGGCAAAGATCTCGGACGAAGCTTCCCCGGCGTGGAGATGTTTAGGGATCCCGAGGGTGACGGACAGCGCATGCTTGGTCGTGTTCTCAAGACGTTCAGTCTATACGACACGAAAATCGGGTACTGTCAGGGACTTGCGTTTCTGGTCGGACCCTTATTGATGCATATGCCGGACAAGCATGCATTTTGCGTTTTGGTCAGGTAAGTCGGAGTTACGGCGCCGTTGGGATTGTGATGGACATTGGATCGTCTTTGGCGGTAGCGAAAAGTCGATCGATTCCGGAAATCAAGTGGCCGATCAGCTAACACGTGCATTTCCACCCACAGGTTGATGGAGAACTACGATCTGCGCCACTGCTTTGTCCCCGACCTGTCAGGACTGCATGTCCGAATTTACCAGTTCACAGAACTGCTGAAGCAGCATCTGCCCGTGGTGGCGGACCATCTCGAAGACTTGGGCGTCGAACCGGCCTATGTTTCACAATGGTTCCTGTCCTTCTTCGCAGTAACCTGTCCCCTGCCCATGCTGTTTCGCATCTACGATGTGATCTTTGCGGAGGGGGCGTCGGAAACGATCATGCGAGTAGCGCTGAGTCTTATGCGCAAGAACGAAGGCCGCATCCTGGCGTGCACGGAGATGGAGGACGTCATGCAGCTGCTTTTGTACGCGGCTTGTGGGATTGTTACCACTACAATGCGGACGAGTTCGTCCAGGACTTTGTCGCTTTGTCGGACGTGGTCACCCGGGAACGAATGGCATTGCTCGAACAGGGGTACCGTGAAGCCAAGATCCCCCCAAGCGCCAATCCCAAAAGCGAGGATGCGCCGGGGTCTGATGTTGCAACAGCAGCCTCCCGCTTTCTGGGTCGCTTGTGGGCTTCCTCATCAACCCCGAAATTGGCCTCTTTCGCGTCGGCAGTTCAGGGGTCCTCCACCGCGTCCTCGTCTTCACCCACCACCATTTCGTCTGGCAGTACCCTTAGCCCCGGTCTGTCACGTCCCCTCAGCATGCTCCGCCGCAGCACTTCGAAACAGAGCATAGCCTCTACATTGAATTCCATGGAGGCTGCATCACAATCATCAACAGCGTCGTCGTCGGCCAGTGTCTTGAGCTCTGCTTCGACCGAAGCGACGTCGCTCCAGTCGCGCGACAGCTCCACCACCGTCGACCACGATTCATCAAGGGACTCGGTCGCTCTTGGCAGCAGCGCGGCTAGCACCAAGGCCAAACAGGCGCACTTCTCGGTTACACCCAGCCTCTACCAAGACGACCGAAAGCATTTGCACACACAGATCGAGGACCTCCTCACCGCCCTTAGCGAACTACAACGGAATCACGCCTTGTTGGCCAGCCAATTGCAGAAGGAAAGGGAAGAACGCGAAGAAGATCGCCAGGCCGTACGCTCGTTGCTCGATGGTCTGCGAAAGAAGGCCAACCCAACACTATCATACGCCGCGGCAGCACGAGAGGCTGAAGAAGACGACGAAACACGAGGCAAGGATGTCGAAATCGATCTTAGCCCCGAGGAGCTGTCCGACCTGCTCGACTTCGTCGCCGACCGATTCAGCGAAGAAGATCCCAACAAGGTATCAATACCGCAAACCAAGGAGCAGCTGCACGAAGATCTTGTACGAGTAAGAGAACAACTATCGAACGAACAAGCGAAGACACAAGAATGCAACCGCAGGATACATGATATGGAGCAAGAGGTGGCCACCGTGAAAGAACAACTAAGGGAAACTCACGCCCATGTGCGCAACATGCATGCGGAAAAGCAGCGCCTTGAGCGCCAAATCCACGGCATGCGGGTTAGAGCCTCAGATGCCACGCCTTCCACGGAGGGAGGCGACTGGTTTGGGCGATCATCAACGGGCGGTAGCAGCGTATCCGGCGGCGGTCTGCGCGAGTTGAAGCTTGTGCGTAGCAAGTCCTCACCTGCGCCGCCCCCCGTATTCCCTACCAAGCGATCCTCCAGCATGATGACCACCTCTACACTGGCATCCACCTCCACCCACAGACGCGACGCTAGCAACGCTACCGCCATCTCGGTGATCAGCTCAAACTCGCCTCCGGCCCCGCCGCCTGTCTCTCTGGCAGCGGCAAGCCCCGCCAACACAGGTCAAGAGCCGACCAGCGAGAACGATGCGCTGTTGCTCGAGCTCGTCCAGGCCAAGACGGCTGAGGCTATGGCCAAGCAAGAGGCGGAAGAGGCGAAGCAGGCGCTCGAAAGAATGCGCAAGGCATTCGGGCTGGCGCCTGGCGAGACGCCGCCAGTGAACTCGCAGTCAGCGCATAATAGCATGGCTGGCATGTTCGGGCGGCTGACCGGCCCCTCGACCCCCGATGGCGGCCCCGGGCTGCAGAAGGTTGTCACCTCGCCCCCGGGGACGTCGGCTGGGAATACTGCCAGCGGCGCTAGCTTCTGGGGTTGGGGGAGGAAGTGAAGTGAAGTGGAGTTATAGAGGTTTACAAGAGCTAAACTATCTGGATAAGGGTGTACATGGGATAGTGACAGGATCATTTTTTGGTGTGGTTTGAAGAAGAGGGAATATTGTAAAGATGCATGCATTGTCCATGTGGGATGTGCTTATCACCGGCGGATTGAAGGTCACACAGGCCCAAAGTGAATTATATATATATATTCAAACAGGACTCGATGTAGAGCCTGATGGAAGGGGACGTTGAAGAGAAAGAAAGAAAGGGCGGCGTCCAGGTCTTTTTCATCATCATGGCATGTCATTCACATCATCACTTAGCATAGTGTGAGTATCGTTCGAACATAAAACGTACATAGACATAATGTCTTTTTTATGTTTGTCTGTTCTCAGCTGGCTTTCAAGAAAAGCCTTCTTATCATATATCATATCACGAACGACGGAGTCCCAAGAGCAACTCGGGTTTATCATTTTATATACTCATAGTATACCTTTTTCTCCCCTGCATCTTGACCTGAGTGTCCTTGATGTGAAAATTGACCTGACATGTAGGTGTTTTGAGCTCTGTACGACGCCCCACACACCAATAACTTGTTCCTCTCGTCCCTCCAGTCTTCCTCGGGGTCCTCTCGCTTACTCGGGAAGTGGGTGACAAGGTAGAGGTGGTGGGGATGGATGAGGGATGTGATGTGCACTGAATAAAATAATGTACATATCTCGCTTGACGTCGCTTATCGATCAGTTGTTCTTCTTCAGTTATTTGGCAAAATATATCATACCAGATAACGAAAGCTATCGATGTTGGTAAATGAGGTAACAGATAACCTTCACCGACTCGATTAGGCATTTCAGCGAGTTGAATTGAAGTGGTGAGGAGATACTGAAGAGGTCCACAAGCTGTGAGTATTGCAGATGGAAGAACGGATTGGAGTGATATGATAGATCAGGGAGAGATGTACAAACCGCTCTGGGGTAGGTATTGGGACAAACGACAACAACAACAACATATTTGTGTCTGGTTCGTGGGCAATGATTCTTGACCGGTTGTGGATGTGTGTATACATATCCGCTTTGAGTGTCTGCCTACCTTACCGGTGTTCGTTTTGTGTAACAGCGGGACGGGATAACTTCTTTGGTAAAGCGGGACAGCGGCTACCTTACTCGTCAGGTCTCGAAACGACCGTCTGCCATTAACCTGGCGGTAAGAAGGGGAACTATTCTAGTCCTGACGAGTATTGGTGGAGTGCCTCAGTCTTGGTGGTGAAAGGTCTATATCGCAGGTGAAGGACGAAGGTCTTTTACGTCTTCCTCTTCGAAGGTTGGAATACATGAGAAGAAGTGTCTGCCTAAGAGCTGGTCCAAAGTGGTTACCTGCTGAGTTGTGTAGTATCTCGGCTGTTGACAGATGAGATGAGTCGACTGGTAGTCGTAAATATTGCAAGTCGAAAGAGTGTCTACAGTATGGTGTGAGCTTGTTGATAAAGTGTGCATCTTTGAGGCCTTTTTTTCTTTCAGGATTGAACAGCACATGTACCGTGGACTAGGCGCTTGTCCTTGTCCCGTCCTTTGAAGTCTCCGGATATCCCCTCAGTATCTTGGAAACCTCTCCTTCCGTTGACGTGGCCCTCGATCGCCTGCTTTTATCAAAGGGAAGAAGTCCAGAAGACAGACAGTCCGGTCTAGCCGCCCTCATAGAAGAAAACGAAACTGAATGCGTCAATGTACAGAGAGAGGTAAGAAAACCTGTCGGCCACCGGTGTCTGAAGATGTGACGTTATTGGCGTGGTCCTCTTTTTCTTGGCAGGATTTACAGGGTTCTCTCAAAACAATTTTAATTTTCCGTTAGTGTTAGTGCTAAATTTCACATGCCAAACGTTTAATGACGACTATTCTTGGAGTCGCCCATGTTCTAGGCTGTTGCTAGCTGTGCGGTATCTACACCACACCAATGAAGATAGGACTGTCGCGTGCTTCTCGGTGTGGTTGTGGACTGAAGTGTCAGTAAGGGCAAAGAGTCATAAAAGAACGTGTTGCACCCTTCATGGTTAGTCCGTTTGAAACCTTGAACAATACTGTTACCTGTCCTGTATGGACGGGTTGTCGTTATCTTGTGCCTTTTCGAATTGACATTGAACTTGAATGTTTTCCTCTTGAGTAGTTTTGCAATACTTTGAATCTCACTCGGTAGCGAAGGTCGTATTAGGGGCTCTGTCTCGAGGTTTAAAGGGGTGTAACATGTAGCAACTAGCAATTGTTGCACCATATGATGTTTGAGACGACAGCAGACGTCATCCACAAGGGGTGGTTGAGTTGTTGTTTACTAACAGAACAGAGATAGGCTTCAACACCAACGACGCACTGTTTTCCAAAGAATTCCTTGAATACTTTTTCCTTGGGATAAGGGTACTTCGGAACGATGTGCAGCTCCTCGCAGCATCCAAGAAGCACGACATTGGCGAGACAAGTGGGCAGGAAAACGGGAGAGGTCTGATAGGGTGACGACAAACAGTGACACACTTGGCCTGCTGTTTTGTGCCATGATGAGATCATTCATGGAATCTGGTCTGGAGGAGGTGCTGCGCCCTTGGTCCGTGCACTTTCATCTTTCTCATGCTTCTCTCGCTGACGGTGGGGTTCGACTGCGCTTTCCTGCGCGTTGCCCTATCGATTTTGGTGGGGCGACCCTGCAGCTTTGGGTGGTTTGGGGGGTCAGCGGCCCCACTAACAGTGTCGCTGCTGGGTCTTGCAGGTCTGCGCTTGCAGAGTTCCCGCCCGCCGTCGTCACCAAGTTTTGGACAGCCCGTAGGTCATTGATATACGATCCGTCAGTGACTGCACCGCTCTTCTCGTTCTTGTCAATTTCATCTTCCCATTCATCTTTCCCTCCTCGATAATTCAATTCTGTTGCGATATCCTCCATCTCGCCTTCTCCAGCTAAACATCACCAATCTCGAAAGCAAACTATTGAACAGTGAGTTCCACCCCATCCATCATCCTACCGCAAACACACCCATCAACAAACACAACCAAACGAGTACGGACTTCGCGCGCTCGTTTGAATCCACCCGACCGCTTCCTGTTCTTTCAAACTTGTGTCTTTGGTTTCTGACCGTCTTCCCCATTCGTTCGTCATAGAATCTCTCGAGCTGCCAGCTTCATCGTCGAACATTCTCCCTTCTTATCAGTAGTCACGAAGAAACGATCAACAAAACTTTCTACAACAAATAATAGCGGAAACGCCCAAATACCTTCACAATGGCCGACAACTACGCTCCCGCCGACAACTACACTCTGTCCGGCCACCACTCTAACGGCTCGGCTAACCTCAACCCTGGCTCGACTAACCTCGATGCCCTCAAGAACAGTAAGGTGTGTGCGCTGCTCCAGCTTGTGCGAGCTTCTCCCCTCCCTTTGAACCAGCGATAAGGACCACCCGCTAACGATTGCGTCAGTGTTCCACAACAGCTCCCAACACCACCACACACCAACACCTAGGACTTTCATCACCATGACACTCCAAAATTGCACAAACTGACTGGATTTCCATAGATGCTGCTTCTGCCTACGATGCCGTAACAAAGGGTATGTTTGATTTCTATCCTGGCAGTCTTCTGTTATCAAACTCTTGGCTGGTGGAGATAAGCTAACGATGACGTTGTGTTTCAGGCCCTGTCGCCCAGAACGTCGCCGACCAAGGCGCCAAGACTGTTGACGAGCTCTCCAACCTTTCTGCGTCTCGCCGCACTCCCTCGACCCCCGCGGCTACTGGCCAGCCCTTGACACATTACCACTCCTTCTTCTCCGAGCTGTTGTCATGGAACAACCCTCGTACGTTCATCTCAAAGATCCCGGGAAACAGTCCGAGCCGTTTTGCTAACAAACCACCTTAGGTGCCTCCGCCATTGCTTACCTGAGCGTCGTTGCTGGCATCTTCTTTGTTAGGTACTTTGATGTGCTCCGCTTGGGTTTCAAGCTCACCTGGATGGTCCTTGGTGCCACCGTTGCCGCCGAAGTTGCCGGCAGGACCGTTCTCAACCAGGGCCTCACCACTCAGCTGCGCCCGCGCAAGTATTATACTGTTTCCAAGCAGACTCTTGACAGCGCTATTGGCGATGTTCACGAGCTCGTCAACTTCTTCGTCATCGAGGCTCAGCGCGTCCTCTTCGCTGAGAACGTCTACGTTTCCGGCCTCGTTGCCCTCTCCGCTTTCTTCGCCTATTACCTCGTCAAGATCGTTCCCTACTGGGGTCTTGCCCTGGTCAGCACCACTCTCGCCTTCCTCGGCCCTCTCGTCTACAAGACCAACAAGGAGGTTATCGATGCCCAGCTTCACCGTGCTAGCGACGTCATTGGCGCCCAGACTGCTCAGCTGAAGACCGTCGCTCAGCAGAACACCGAGAAGGCTACCCAGTTGACCAAGCAGTACGTTGGCGAGTATACTGCCAAGGCCCAGACCCTCGTTGGCAAGGCTACTCCTGCTTCTCTCTCCGGTGAGGATCACACCAACGGTCATGCCAACGGTCATGCCGACAACCTGTCCACCCTCCGTGAGGCCGACTTCCCTCCCGCCCCCCGTGCCGACATCAAGACCGAGCTTGCGGCTCCTATCGAGCCTGTTGTTGCCGTCCCCGTTACTGTCAAGAGCGGTGAGCAGCAGCCTCTGCTGATTTAAGCGAGCTACCTTGCGTATGCCTTCTGCGGCGATAATCAAGCCGTGATCGGCTGTACTCTTTCCCTGACTGAATAATCCATGGCCGGCAATGTCCGGGATTCCATGGTCATGATACCCCGTTGGTATGGAGCGGTGGCTGATCTTCAACCAGAAGTTGTTATCTAGTCACCAGCTTGTGACCAGCAAACAGCCAAGTCGAAGGTGGTGGATGAGACAAATAGTCGTTAGTAACGAATGAGTGGATGGATGAATTAAGTGGTTTCTTTCCAATCTTCAGTTTGTCATGCCCTCGTGGTAAGAAAGAAAGCATGTGAAAAAAGGAGAACAGATGGGTGAAGATGGGATCGCGTGCCACCTGATGATGGATGATGACTTTACGTTAACTTAAGGAGCACACATGAGGGTGGAGTCGCGGCATTTCATTTTCTCGGGTCTCCGGAGTATTGGGTTACCGTCTTTCTATTTACCTAGGCTAATTCCGTACTTGTCAAAATGTTTGTAACCATTATCTGTGCAACCTGCTATAAACGACAATGAGTGCTTGACAGTGCTTTGTGTGGGATGTCCGAAACTGTCGTGGGGTGGTCATAAAAGCTATGCCTATTAGCTATCAAACATCAAAGGTTGTATAGTGTAGCGGTTATCACTCCGGATTCTGATTTCTTTAGAACATTCCGGCAACCCCGGTTCGATTCCGGGTACGACCTCATCTCTTGCACTTTTTGTAACTAACTTCCGCATGCTGAAATTGATCGTCAATGCTCATATTCAGTGTGTATGCTTTTTTCACTGAAAGTTGAGGATGGTCATGTGTATGTGGTTGCATGTCAAGCTTGAAGATGAACGCAACCATAGCCCCATCGCACAGGGGCCTCCCTCGCCCTACTTTTAGACCTCCAGACTTCAACACACAGTCTGATCACACTACACAATACATCACCATCATCATTGATTTCGTTCGTTGTCGTCCAGCCTGTTCACAGTTACGCACTGTTGCTCTGTCCAGCAACCAGCTGCTCGCTCTTCTGTTCTCTGTCATTATCACTTATGAAGCACCCTCTTCGCGTAACACTTGAAACCCAAACCATACTGTTCATGTCTTGACTTGACCCTTCCTCCTCTTTGCTGCCTCCGGTCTTGTAAATGAGGTGTCTTGAGTGGCCGCCGTAGGCTGCTCTGACTGCATCAGATTCCCCAAGTGATAACTGGTCAATGGCGGAGCAGATCTTCTTGAAATGATCGGGCACCCATATATCGTAGATATTCTTATTGAATCGGTATGCTGTCCACTTCTCCTTGCCGTCTAATTCAGTAAAGACAAAATTTCGGATCGGGTGCCAGTAATATTTGGTGTCTTTCCCGGTTATTACTGGGTAGTGGCCATAAATCCGTATTAATTGGTGGTCGTGCGAGATGGAGAAAGCGAGAATTTACCGGTTAACTTCATTTTCGCGCTTTACAGTACGGAAAAGCTCGACAATAGCCCGCACTGCAAGTGTCATGCTATGGGCGTTCTGTCGGTCTGCGATAGCGAGTGCTGCAGCGCCGCACTTCACCTCACAGGTTAGGAACGGGAAGTACATTTAGTGCGTGGCCATAAAAGAGGACTGGTCTCCGGGGATAGAGTCACCAATGAATGACCATAGTTTATCAATCTGCTCCTTATTGAATGCCTCTTATCCGAAACCAACAGAGTAATTGGGTTGAGAACGAGCAATGTCAGTTAGGGGGAAAGAATGATTTCAGCCCTCATTCACACTTTCGGTAAGGTCGAGGTATTCGAGGTGTTTAGCATGAAGGGCGTATTGCTCCACTGAAGGAACGATCAGCCGAGAAATATCTTGAATAACCCTAGCTTTGTTCTTATTCAGAAGCTTCTCGCAGATCTTCTCAAAGATATTGTTGTCGAAGAGTGAATTCTTAGGAGCCGGTTGTTCAGTATTAAGGAGGGTCTTGTAAAGGTTCCTACTCTTATCCGTAATATCTAATGGTGACTTGTGCATGTATGAATCTATAGCCTGGAGTACGGACGAGTATCAAGTACCCTGATATGGGGCGCTCTTCTCTTCTCTCTGTCTCAACAAACTTTACGGTACTGTGTGACGAACGGCAGTCTGATCTGCCTAAATGAGATAGCTGAAGGTAATAACTATCAGAGTCGTTCGGTGAAGCCAAAAGGTTCACAACAAGTATGTGCGTGGTACTGGTCTCAATGAACAATTGTGGTAACTGTGATCTGTTGACTACTGTCGAACTATCTGACAATCTGAGTTCTCCCGTAGTCCCTTTATACCTGCTCGCCCTCTGCGAGATATCTGTCTCCGGATGCTCTTGTCGAGCCCCTAACCTATCTAAGGTGTGCCTGCGCGCAGTGGTTGAGGTGATCAGTTCTGATCACCTTGAACAGCTGCGCGCCCTGTCTTGACTAGTTGCTTGATCAGTGAGCCATCCTGGTAGGACTGATCAGCCTTCCCTGTCTGTGCATCCTGGGTCACGGTTACACTGCCCAGCCTTCTGTGGCTGGTTCCGCCCTGGCGGCCTGGTTGGCCCGTGTTCCTCATAAGTTCGTGACAATACTGAGTAATGGATTTTTCAGAAAGAACGAGAAGGCACCTAAGGAGAGTTTTCTTCAGCAATGGAAGGTCGGAAGTTTTAGTTAGATTGCTTTGAATAAAGAAGGCGATACGTCCGGTAGGTTTAAATATATTTTAAAGGCGTTTCCAGAGTCGTTTGACATTGTTAAACCGCTTTGTCGAAGGATTAAGAAGATCCTTTTTCCTTTAGGCGATGTTACGAACTTATGAGGATACA